TCTGTCATTTGAGCGGTGGAAAGTGGAGGCAGAAAATGGGAAAAATGAGAGCGAAGAAAGAGAGCAACGAAATACAAAGAGAAACAAGAAAAAAAAGATAATTTAAAAAAAACAGCGACCTTCTGCTGATTTCTGTGCGCCTGGTATCTCAGATTTGAATTTAACGGTTTTCTGCCATTTGAGCGGTGGAAAGTGGAGGCAGAAAATGGGAAAAAAAGAGCGAAGAAAGAGAGCAACGAAATACAAAGAGAAACAAGAAAAAAAGATAATTTAAAAAAAACAGCGACCTTCTGCTGATTTCTGTGCGCCTGGTATCTCAGATTTGAATTTAACGGTTTTCTGCCATTTGAGCGGTGGAAAGTGGAGGCAGAAAATGGGAAAAATGAGAGCGAAAAAAGAGAGCAACGAAATACAAAGAGAAACAAGAAAAAAGAGAATTTAAAAAAGCAGCGACCTTCTGCTGATTTCTGTGCGCCTGGTATCTCAGATTTGAATTTAACGGTTTTCTGCCATTTGAGCGGTGGAAAGTGGAGGCGGAAAATGGGAAAAATTAGAGCGAAAGGAGAGAGCAACGAAATACAAAGAGAAACAAGAAAAAAGAGAATTTAAAAAAAGCAGCGACCTACTGCTGATTTCTGTGCGCCTGGTATCTCAGATTTGAATTTAACGGTTTTCTGCCATTTGAGCGGTGGAAAGTGGAGGCAGAAAATGGGAAAAATTAGAGCGAAAGAAAGAGAGCAACGAAATACAAAGAGAAACAAGAAAAAAAGAGAATTAAAAAAAAGCAGCTACCTTCTGCTGATTTCTGTGCGCCTGGTATCTCAGATTTGAATTTACCGGTTTTCTGCCATTTGAGCGGTGGAAAGTGGAGGCAGAAAATGGGAAAAATGAGAGCGAAGAAAGAGAGCAACGAAATACAAAGAGAAACAAGAAAAAAAGATAATTTAAAAAAAACAGCGACCTTCTGCTGATTTCTGTGCGCCTGGTATCTCAGATTTGAATTTAACGGTTTTCTGCCATTTGAGCGGTGGAAAGTGGAGGCGGAAAATGGGAAAAATTAGAGCGAAAGGAGAGAGCAACGAAATACAAAGAGAAACAAGAAAAAAAGAGAATTTAAAAAAAGCAGCGACCTACTGCTGATTTCTGTGCGCCTGGTATCTCAGATTTGAATTTAACGGTTTTCTGCCATTTGAGCGGTGGAAAGTGGAGGCAGAAAATGGGAAAAATGAGAGCGAAGAAAGAGAGCAACGAAATACAAAGAGAAACAAGAAAAAAAGATAATTTAAAAAAAACAGCGACCTTCTGCTGATTTCTGTGCGCCTGGTATCTCAGATTTGAATTTAACGGTTTTCTGCCATTTGAGCGGTGGAAAGTGGAGGCGGAAAATGGGAAAAATTAGAGCGAAAGGAGAGAGCAACGAAATACAAAGAGAAACAAGAAAAAAAGAGAATTTAAAAAAAGCAGCGACCTACTGCTGATTTCTGTGCGCCTGGTATCTCAGATTTGAATTTAACGGTTTTCTGCCATTTGAGCGGTGGAAAGTGGAGGCAGAAAATGGGAAAAATGAGAGCGAAAAAAGAGAGCAACGAAATACAAAGAGAAACAAGAAAAAAAAGAATTTAAAAAAGCAGCGACCTTCTGCTGATTTCTGTGCGCCTGGTATCTCAGATTTGAATTTAACGGTTTTCTGCCATTTGAGCGGTGGAAAGTGGAGGCAGAAAATGGGAAAAATGAGAGCGAAAAAAGAGAGCAACGAAATACAAAGAGAAACAAGAAAAAAAGAGAATTTAAAAAAGCAGCTACCTTCTGCTGATTTCTGTGCGCCTGGTATCTCAGATTTGAATTTACCGGTTTTCTGCCATTTGAGCGGTGGAAAGTGGAGGCAGAAAATGGGAAAAATGAGAGCGAAAAAAGAGAGCAACGAAATACAAAGAGAAACAAGAAAAAAAGAGAATTTAAAAAAGCAGCGACCTTCTGCTGATTTCTGTGCGCCTGGTATCTCAGATTTGAATTTAACGGTTTTCTGCCATTTGAGCGGTGGAAAGTGGAGGCAGAAAATGGGAAAAATGAGAGCGAAGAAGAGAGCAACGAAATACAAAGAGAAACAAGAAAAAAAAGATAATTTAAAAAAAACAGCGACCTTCTGCTGATTTCTGTGCGCCTGGTATCTCAGATTTGAATTTAACGGTTTTCTGCCATTTGAGCGGTGGAAAGTGGAGGCGGAAAATGGGAAAAATTAGAGCGAAAGAAGAGAGCAACGAAATACAAAGAGAAACAAGAAAAAAGAGAATTTAAAAAAAGCAGCGACCTACTGCTGATTTCTGTGCGCCTGGTATCTCAGATTTGAATTTAACGGTTTTCTGCCATTTGAGCGGTGGAAAGTGGAGGCAGAAAATGGGAAAAATGAGAGCGAAAAAAGAGAGCAACGAAATACAAAGAGAAACAAGAAAAAAAGAGAATTTAAAAAAGCAGCGACCTTTTGCTGATTTCTGTGCGCCTGGTATCTCAGATTTGAATTTACCGGTTTTCTGCCATTTGAGCGGTGGAAAGTGGAGGCAGAAAATGAGAAAAATTGTAGCGAAAAAAGAGAGCAACGAAATACAAAGAGAAACAAGAAAAAAAGAGAATTTAAAAAAAACAGCGACCTTCTGCTGATTTCTGTGCGCCTGGTATCTCAGATTTGAATTTAACGGTTTTCTGCCATTTGAGCGGTGGAAAGTGGAGGCGGAAAATGGGAAAAATTAGAGCGAAAGGAGAGAGCAACGAAATACAAAAAGAAACAAGAAAAAAAGAGAATTTAAAAAAAACAGCGACCTTCTGCTGATTTCTGTGCGCCTGGTATCTCAGATTTGAATTTAACTGTTTTCTGCCATTTGAGCGGTGGAAAGTGGATGCAGAAAATGGGAAAAATTAGAGCGAAAAAGAGAGCAACGAAATACAAAGAGAAACAAGAAAAAAAGAGAATTTAAAAAAAACAGCGACCTTCTGCTGATTTCTGTGCGCCTGGTATCTCAGATTTGAATTTAACGGTTTTCTGCCATTTGAGCGGTGGAAAGTGGAGGCAGAAAATGAGAAAAATTAGAGCGAAAGGAGAGAGCAACGAAATACAAAGAGAAACAAGAAAAAAAGAGAATTTAAAAAAGCAGCGACCTTCTGCTGATTTCTGTGCGCCTGGTATCTCAGATTTGAATTTAACGGTTTTCTGCCATTTGAGCGGTGGAAAGTGGAGGCAGAAAATGGGAAAAATGAGAGCGAAAAAAGAGAGCAACGAAATACAAAGAGAAACAAGAAAAAAAGAGAATTTAAAAAAAGCATCGACCTTCTGCTGATTTCTGTGCGCCTGGTATCTCAGATTTGAATTTAACGGTTTTCTGCCATTTGATCGGTGGAAAGTGGAGGCAGAAAATGAGAAAAATTAGAGCGAAAAAAGAGAGCAACGAAATACAAAGAGAAACAAGAAAAAAAGAGAATTTAAAAAAAGCAGCGACCTTCTGCTGATTTCTGTGCGCCTGGTATCTCAGATTTGAATTTAACGGTTTTCTGCCATTTGAGCGGTGGAAAGTGGAGGCAGAAAATGGGAAAAATGAGAGCGAAAAAAGAGAGCAACGAAATACAAAGAGAAACAAGAAAAAAAGAGAATTTAAAAAAAGCAGCGACCTTCTGCTGATTTCTGTGCGCCTGGTATCTCAGATTTGAATTTAACGGTTTTCTGCCATTTGAGCGGTGGAAAGTGGAGGCAGAAAATGGGAAAAATGAGAGCGAAAAAAGAGAGCAACGAAATACAAAGAGAAACAAGAAAAAAAGAGAATTTAAAAAAGCAGCGACCTTCTGCTGATTTCTGTGCGCCTGGTATCTCAGATTTGAATTTAACGGTTTTCTGCCATTTGAGCGGTGGAAAGTGGAGGCAGAAAATGGGAAAAATTATAGCGAAAAGAGAGAGCAACGAAATACAAAGAGAAACAAGAAAAAAAGAGAATTTAAAAAAGCAGCGACCTTCTGCTGATTTCTGTGCGCCTGGTATCTCAGATTTGAATTTAACGGTTTTGTGCCATTTGAGCGGTGGAAAGTGGAGGCAGAAAATGAGAGAACGGCCCCAGAGCCGAAGACCTGGGAACGTACGCTGAAAACTCATCTGCGACACTTTTGTTGTATGAACTGGCACATCTATATACTGTATGGTTAGTGTCCATACGCATAGAAGAAACTTTGTTGACCAGCAACAATGACGTCACATTTAGTCAAAATTTACTTTTTATGCTTTGGCCTTTTTTTTAACCTTATTATGTAAAAAATCCAATGAAAAAGTGTTCTGAAAACTAGCCAATCCTGAACAAAATTTATTGAGGAATTGTATAAAATTATTTGTTTAGGGCTGAGAGGCCCAACTAGCTAGTAATATTAAACGGAATATAAAAATCGAGGAATATTAACGTCTATTCGTGTCCGTCAGTATATTTACAGTATATTTTGACAGTGGCATGGTATATTTGGGTATATTTCTGTGGGTCAGACGGTACATTTTATTGATAAGTCTTGTCCTTCGGAAACTAGAGCTGTCAAGCGATTGATAGTTGGGCCATCGATAGTTTCGAATGTTTTGAAAAATAATAGTATCAGGCTCAAAAAATTATTAAAAAATAATTGAAACCTTTTAGGAACATGTCCAATTACTCCTGTCGATTTGTTTACAAATTTGTCTTCGTGTTTTAGAGCAGCCAATCCAAACATATCAAACATAGTATATGTCAAGAGAGTCGCAAAACCGTCGATAGTAGCGGATAGCAGCAAAACATCGATACTATCGATAGTGCCCTCGATGATTTGACACCTAGAAAGTGTGAATTTCTCAGTTTTGCGTCGTAAGGTAAGCTCCAATTGGATTTGTATAATTCCAATACCGTTTGTGCACAATTGGGAAAAATCCCATACCGTTTGTGCGCAATTGGAAAAAGTGCACATTCCCAACCAGAAAAAAGGGACCATATTTTTGAGTTTGGCCAAAAGTTTCATTTTCAAATTTCGGATTTTCAACCTTCTGTCTTCGGTCACACTACTGCCCCCACCACCAACACTATTAAGAAACTAAACTGACATTTTTTTGGTAAGCTTTTTGCGTTTTCCCTAAATCCAACGATATCGGCTAACAAACAATTAACTAGTGGTAGTCCACTCACTAATGTATTTGCTTCTTGCACAGTGATTGTTTAGTGGACAGTGCTTAGCAAATGTAAGAAGTGTACAAGTGCAAAGTTGGTCTCGCAGCGCAGCCAACGCGTAGTTTCTTCGTTCTGCCTGCTCTCATACTCCAAGAATATTGCCTAATTTCAAACGAACCGTAGTTAAAGTGTTGAATTGACAATGAAGTTGTAGTTGGAGCAGCGGTGGGGACTACTTTAAACGGAAAATCGCCTACAATCAAGCCCTCTACGCCCCAGTGGCGCTGACTGCGCGGTCGGCGCCAACGTCGGCAGCACACATTTTTGTTGTTGCTATTCTCGACATATGATTCAATAAGAAATAAGAATAAGTGCGTTCTCTCTCTATCGCTCTTACGCTCTTGCAGACTGTTTCAGTTTTTTGTAATTTTTGTGTTTAGCTTTTGTTGTTGCTTGTGGGCTGTAAATAATATTTGAAGAAAATCTGTGTTGGTGCATGGAGCGAAAGTCGGGCAGCAACAACTATTAGTCGCTGCCGCCAGTGCTGTTTGAAGCAGCGACACAACGCACACAAATGGTGGTCGTCCGTTTGTTGTGCCCATTTATGCAAACCATTTGTATACCCTAGAAGAGGCGGAAGGTGTTCGGTCATTGACGAAAGGATAGGAAATCAAAGTATTTGCTAACTTGTGCACTGCATATCATTAAATATATAAAATATATTCCACACAAAACAGTGACCACTTCAATATAAAGTTCAATCCATAAGTGTAATTATCTATTGTCATTCATTATTTATTTATTTCTTTTAACTGTTTGCAATTAATGACGAACGAATGATTCAGCCGCATGCCAATGTGTTAAGTTTCGGTTCGGTTCGGTGTGCGCTTGCTTGTGGGTCGGTCCGCCAGCAGCAGCAGCAGCCACACAGTAAACTATAGATAAATCTCGTTTTATCAGCTAAAGCCCGCTTATCAAATGTGCACATCATTAAAAGTAAAGTACATACATATTTAAAACATTAGACCCAAGTTGCGTCGCAGTTTTTTTGAGAGCGGGCCCGAGACGAGGCCGTCTAGCAATCATAGATACTTTTCATCTGAGGGGTATATCTGTTTTGGGAGGTAATTAATGTTAATCTGCGTTAATTAACTTACTAATAATTATAATCTGTTTATTCTTTACAGGGGGGAGGTGCGGAAAACACGCTTCTACGATTTCAATTCACAAATTCTTTAATCACATTCAAACGAACGACGACAGCCAGCCCATACAACCATTGACAGACATCAGTCATCAAATATATTTATCCAACAAATCAGCGGCAGACGACGAATACGAAACCAGAATTCGAATTCCATACGAAAACAAAAAAAATGGCTCACACACACCTGGGACGCGCGGTGAAAAACATTGAGGCGCCGCGTCCGCTCAAGACACAGTCGAGATCGTCATTGAAGAACAGCTATCTGGTGATTGAGGAGCTGATACAGCTGATCGATAATGTGACAGTGGGTCTGCAGTCGTGCAACACGACCACAGAGTCGATAACGTTGCTGTTGCACAATCTGCGTGTGCATGGGCCGCAGCTGGAGGCCGTGTCCAAGGATACGCTGGATCGGGCATTCGTTGTGTTTCGCAATGCTTCGCAGGACGAACGTCTGAACATAATGACGCGCCTTAAGCTGCTCGAACTGATCGAATTACGTGCCAAAAGCTGGGAGGACAATGACACAATTGCCTACTACAAGTCCAAACAGCAGATATCTAGTGTTGAGGTGAGTCTCCCTCTTTGATGGTGTCCTATTATTATTCTTACCATCCTCTCGTTCGTTTTAGCTACCCCCGGAGCCATACCAACATGATGCCAGCGTGCAGCAAGGCGGATTTCTCAGCACCTCCCCCACATTCGGTGTCAGCGGCGGTGGTGGCGGCATGAATGTTGGAGCTGCCGCTGCTGCTGCCGCTGTCTTTAATGCGGCCTCGGCAGCTGCTGCGGCCCAGGCGGCCGCCATTGCGGCCGTGGGCTCACCCAATCAGCAGCACATGCTGCTGCCACCAGGTGAAGTCATACGCAACTCGGGCAAGTTCCCCAAGCCGACCAAGATACCGGGCAAAACCTACTGCAAGGATGAGGTGGTAATCCGGAACGCTGATTCGGGCAAAGGTGAGTGTGTCCCATCAAATGGCAGATTGGTGCTTCTTCTCTTGCCCCACCCCCTGAACTACACCTACTGAACTTTTATATTTGAATATGTATTCCGAATCCCGTATCTGCTGACGCCCACACACTCTCAGTCATGGGCATCAAAGGGCGACGCGTGCACATGATTGAGGAACTAAGCGAAACTATCATATCGTTTCAACGAGGTAACACCCCCAGATCAGATCGCTTGCACTCCCCCTAGCCTTAAGGACGGCACACTGCATTTTCATTTGCATTCCCCACTTTCACTCACACGTTTCTAACTCGCTTGCCACACATTTTGCTCGTTTTTGCTGCTCACACAAATTCCCCTTTAATTTACATTTACATTAACGGTGCCCAAAGGTTTTTGATTATATTTTTCGTTCTGTTTCGTTCGCACGTAATTTTATTTATTATACAAGATTATTAATGCCATCTTTTGTTCAGTCAACCCGGGCGCCAAGGAACGTTTGGTGCAGATCACTGGACCGGCGGAAGAGAAAATTAAGTGAGTTCAAAAATGAATCCAAGATGTTGCTGCCAATTAAGGGGAAATATACAGAAAATGAAATTAATTTAAATTGAATTTAAAATTTTGGGTAGTGCTCCACAACGCCGCACTGCTAACACTTTTTCTTGGGTTGGCAGCGCGGCCTTAGATCTAACTGTAAACCTCCCACTCAATTGGCAGCCATTTTGCATTTAGTTAGCACATTTTATTAACAGAAAATGAATTCGTTTTGCGATAGCTACGCCAAGCAACTGATGGAGGACACAATTCGACGCAACGCCTCGCCGGTGCGCCTGGAGCCCGCCCCAGCAGCCGGTGGCTCGTGCTCGTCCCTCAACTCATCGAACTCGGACGACGCCGTGGTGGTGCAGCCGCGCACGCCCAGTGGCAGCAGCCTGGCGAACCGCCTGAGCTTCAATTCGGCCCAGAACTTTATGACTGCCCAGCAGGCAGCAGCCCAGCAGATCTCCCAGATCACGCAGCACCAACAGGCGCAACAGCAGCAGCAGCAGCACCACCACCATCAGCAGCAGGTTGCCGCCATACAGGTGGCCGCCGCAGCAGCGGCCCAGGCTCAGGCAACAGCTGCTGCCGGTAAAGTTTTGCGACCCAGCCAACAGCTGCTAATGCACTCATATTCCACAAACGATGCTTCCGTAGGTGAATACAAGTTCACGGTCAACGTGGGCCAGCGTCTGATCAAGATAACCGGCGACTGCTGTGAGCTAGTGCGCGTGAGTAGATCCAACCAATGCAGGGGGAGAGTGTTCTTCAATGCAGCTAATTCTGTTTTGTTTTACCTCTGTTCATGCAGGTGGCGAAGCTCGTGCTGGACGATTACTTCAGCAGCTCGGAGTTCTTGGCATCCATGGAGGCTGGCGCCGCTTTTGATGGCACCTCTCTGGTGAGCCCCGTGACCACGCCATCCACACCGCTGCCCGGAGCTGGTCCGCCACAGTTTATGCTGCCCTTGGCCGACAGCGGCATCGGACTGAATTATGCCGCCTCCTCGGCCAACAACAATGGCGATGGGGACGATGAAGTGTTCGCCGACACGACCAACGGAGCTTCACCGAATGCTGCCAACCAGAACGGACTGGCACGCTCGCGTCGCAGTCACTTTTCGCGCAAGGAGTCCACGCCGGAGAGCAAGGGAGCTCGCGAGAAGCTGGACGTGGAGGCTCCTCCACTAAAGACAAGCACATGTAAGATAATGAGATGCTTTGAGACCCCTAGTAGTCCCATGAGTCGCGTTAATGGGTGCCGTTCTCTTGCAGCACGCGTCTCTTACGATATTGAACACTTGATCTACTACTCGCAAAGTCCGCATGCCTGGGCCCTGCCCAACGATTGGCAAAAGATGATGGAGACAACGCCATCGATTCTACGCAACAAGGTAATTCCGCCACTCGATGGGCAATTGAAATGCCACATCGGTCGTCGTCCCTCTTCGAGCCCCGATTCCATCACCAATGCACCCAAATCACATGCATTAACAACGGCTAGCATAACCATAAATCTAGAAGGCGATGCGCAGGTCGCAGCCGCCGTAAGCGCTAACGATGCAAACACCTTAACAAACGAAACTAACAAGCAATCTAGAGTAATACCACAAGAGCGCGAACGCGACCGCGAGCTACGTCGCAATCCAAAGCCATCGGCAGAGTCCGATAGGAATTTGTATAATAGACAATTGCAAATCATAACCAGCACAATGGGTGCCACCACCCAAGCAAAGTGTCGCCAGCAGCAGCTGCATTCGCATTCACATTCACATTCACATTCAAATCATTCTCAGTCACAAGCGAAAGCTATTTTCCAGCGCTATACCGAGGATGATGAGTGTCTAATGGCCTGGTTCGATGAACAAACGCATCCAGAGCTCAACAATAATCGTACATTTGTTTAAATGTTCTCTTTCATTATTCATTCCATTTTATACGTAACAGAAAATACGTATTCGTTTTCCAATCGAAATATTTTAATGATCTCAAAATCTGCCATTGATTGGTAATTTTTGGAAGCAGATACCAAAAATACCAGCAGCTTGTAGAATCTCTATCGTATCGAATAGAAGTATTACAACTATCACGCATCTCAAGCTATCTAGTTATAGTTGCATTATTAATATTATACGAAGAAACGAAACCAAACCAAAAGAAAACAAATCAATTGATAAAGCGAAACATTTTGCTAGTCTTAGGCGTAACCACATGTCATGACATACATACACATACAAACATACATTGTAATGCAAATTAAATTTAAAATGTAACTAAGGGAAGAATCTGTGTTTTGGCTGTGAAACAGATTTAGTTTATTTCGCTAGAGTTTTAGAAATTAAGATTTGCGGTCTTAACCGTTACCACACAAACACACAATTAACAAACAAACACACGAAAAAAAAACGCACATTTAAGCGCATTTTTACATAACATATAAAAACAAAAACGAACGAAACTGTAATTAACATTTTAATAAGACTTATAACAAAAAATACTAATATAATCTCAAGCAAAGCAATGATCGGGGAGGCTAATGTAACACAAACTATGTCTAAGCGTTTTTTCACCCCACTCCAAAAGCATACTCAAAAAGCATACAATTTATACGTGCATATATACACACATATACATACATATATATATATATTTCAAATAAAATAAAGACTTACAAAGTCGGAAGTAAAGCGTGGTTGGGTTTTAAATCACAACACACAACACACCACACCACCCACACAAAACACTCTGTAAATCGCTTCTAAAACACACACCTGCCTGCCTGCCCGCTTATAATGGCTCTAAAAACCTGACACATTAATCTGTTCCATATGTAAATGTACATTAATTATGTCCGTCCAAGGTAAGCTTAAGCCGAAACGTTGATTCTTTGAACACCTATAACTAATGGTTTTCTTTGTGTTCGCAAACAGGATCTACAGGATGAGAGTCAGCGCTTCGATGGGGACAAATATCTGATTAGCATCAAGACTGACGCCACACGAGATATTGCGGCAGCCGATGATGCCGAGAATCTGGATGAATAGAGACCCAGTACCAGGTCCACTCTGCAGCAGCGGGCCCCAAACAACTGACAATATATAGATAATGTCCTCTCGGACGCAGCTAGACTATATTCTTCAATGCTTTTAGCGCTAGCGGCTCTAACAAAACTAATCAAACCAAAACTACCAAAAAAACCAAGAAACTTTTCAAAAAAAAATAATAATATGAAGAAGCAGCAAACTCTGAAGAAGAATGCTAAACACAACCACTAACCCTTAGAATCTAGGAACGACAAGCAATCAAAACTTTCAACATAGCTAGAAAATTCAACGAAGCTCTTAGATAAGTGCCAACGAAGAAAAGTGAATAAGAACGGGGGAGTTATAATTCTACTAATTCACAACAAAATGCAGCTAAACCGAACACGTATGAAGCGGTCTCGAAGCGGCCTCGTAGTAAATACGAGCTAAATGAAACGGGGAATGGAATGCATTTTTAGTAACTCAATAGAGAATGAACACCACACACATAATATTTTAATTTAAAATTGATTAATTTCGTTTCTCATTTCCCCTCCCAATGGCTTTGTTTCCATCCATCCTTAAACAAAAATTCTCAAAACAACAAAGAAAAAAAAATGTATTAATTCATCTATAAATGTGTTTATTATTACTTTTATAATCGTTTTCTCTAGTCTATCGTAGAGATTTTTGTTTGGAAACATATTTTTATTTTAATGTATTTATCAATTGAAATTTTAGACTTCATTTCGAAACGAGAGAAAGAAAGAAAGAAAAAAGCCAAAAGTGTTTGAATTTCTGCTTTATGCTTTAGTTAATTTATTTTATTTATTTTGTACAAATACAAAAACATATTCTTCAAGAAAATAAAATGAAATCATGATCAAATACGAAACTTTATTTATTTTTATATATATATTATATTATACATATTTTTCTTCACAGTTAAATAGTTTGCTGCATTTTCTTTGGTTTCTCTTTTCGGTGAATGTACATTTACATTTATTTATTATAAAACAAAAAAACAATAATCGATAATTATAACAATAATTTCTGCATATACTGATATGTATAATATTTGGATATTGGCTAGGAGTTGAACGGAACGGAACGGAACGGAATACACGAATACAATAACGACCAAGGTCAAGATCAAGACCCCACGACCACGACAATTGTGCGGTTAGCAGAATCTGCTCCAAGGTTGCATAACAAGTCAAGTACAATAGAGAGATGGCGGTAACATCACAATTGGGTTATTTTTAGTTTGGGTTAATCAATACGGGTAGTATCCATAGTAAGTAGTACATATTTAGTGGCCCAATAGAGGCCGTCGATCCACAGTTGCGCGTCGGATTGAGCTTTTGGTATGGTAAGGCAAAGTAAATACATTTAGAAAGAGAATCGCAAATTAGTCAGTGATTGAGGGGGGACATACATATAGATATAGACAGCAATACACAACATCAATCAATCAATCAATAGGCATGCTCAGTAGTACATCAATCAACTCGACTCAATATTCACGTACATCGATGTGTGATACGTGGCCCGCTGTGCTGGCGACATATTCAAATTGCCCTGATGCTTGCGATTGTAGGCCCAAATCGCACAAGTGGCCATCAAAGAAACTGCAATTATCGAATGGGAAATGATTCGAAATGATTTAACACAAACTCAGTGCTTTCTCCTTACTCAGTAGGAACAGCATAAAAAAGAGCTGCAGCCAGAAGTGACTGCCACCGCTGCTATCCACAATGATGCCGGCTACAATGGTCACCACAGCGAGGCCCAAATTCTGCACTGACTGGCAGCTGTAAAGAAATAATAGCACCTTACAGACAATGCCCCACAGATCAATTGATTGTTTCACTTACAAGCCATATGCCGTGCCCAGCTGATATTCGGGAACAATCAGGGAAACCAAAGGCCACAGGCTGGCCGCCAGCATGGAATAGGAGAGACCCATAACGCTCATGCCAATGTACGGATCCAGGTGGGTGAATGTCAGCAGGGCATGAGCCACAAATGTGGAAATGGTGGCACAGAACACCCAGGTCACATTGCGTCCCACCTTATCGATGATGAAGCCAAACAGTGGCGAGGCTATGGCCGAGATCAGGTAGACAATCGAGTTGACAGTGTTTGCCTCGTCCGGGGTCATGTGGAAATTGTTCACGAAGAAAGCCTGTCCCAAGGCAACGAAGGGAAAGATGGCCACATAGTAGGCCACACATACCACCGACACCATCCAGAAGTCCATCTTGAAGGTGACTATGTCGCTCAGCTTGGCAATCTCTCCGCCCGGATTGTTATTACGCTTCAGAATGCGCTCGGCCCGCTTGTCCATCCACCCTAGATGGCGAGAGACAGAGATCAGCTCAGAGAGGAGACAACAACAGGTGGACAAGACCTACCCAGAATCAGAGTGCAAATCAGAGACATCACACAGGTGGAGGAGGCCAGAAACAGGGCCACGCCCAGTCCAGTGTAGCCAGCGTAGGATTTTGAGACATAGCCATACAACGGCTGCATTATCCAAAAGTTGACAGTGCTGCCGAAGCGGGCCACCGACAGCTGCAGGCCAAAGACCATGTTCAGCTCCTTGCCCTTGAACCACAGCACCGCATAGCTGTTTTGGGCCACAGCCAGCGACTCTGCCCCAATGCCGAACACAAAACGACCAACGATCATCAACCAGAAATGTCCCAGGACACCGCCAGTGGCGAATATCAACTGACCGACGAGCACAATCAGCATATAGATGATGGTGCCCAGACGGATGCCAAAGACGCGATCGATCAGGAAGCCTCCCACGAAGCAGAGCACAATGTTCGGCCACGAGTAGATGGAATAGATCAGCGTGAACTCGGTGGAGTTGAGGTCCAGCTCCTTTTGGAAAACATCCTGCAGAGCCCCGGGGTTGTCGTAACAAAAGTAGGAACCTAAAAGCACTCTGCATTAGCAGTGCATGCAATATGCAACGCCATCACCACCACACTCACCAAATCCCAGCAGGCACATAAAAACCAGGGCCAGAAAACGATGCGGCGTGCTGGAGGGATCACAGCATCCCGTGTCCTTGGGCGGCGACAGCACCGTGTCGCGGGTGCTTCGCCTACGCACCACTGGCTTCGCCTCATCCTCACCGCTGCTGCTATTCGACGTGTCCACAATTCGTTGACGTTCTTCGCGTGTCATGGCTCTTTTTTTCTTCTGGCCACCGGATATTAAAGGTGCGCTTGGGGGATGAAGGATTGGTAATTGCTTTTGGCTGTTCTTCCTGTCAATGCGGTTTGATGGGGATGAGGGGTTGGTTGATGGTTTGCTCGATTGGTTGGTTTGCTTTTTGCGTTGTAGGCGGTGGGCGGGTAGCTGGGCCGTGGCCCTACTGTTGTTGCTTATCACTAGACCGCACCATGACTTTGTTTTTGTGTGTATTGATTATTCCCACAGATGGACGAGAGCTGTCACTACGGGCGGTGCCAGGCGTGGGCGATTGTAAAGGTTAATCTGCAATAAAAGCGTCATGAAAATGGTTGCATCTTTGCAAGGAAAAATTTCCAAAGTATACACACACACACACACTCATACGTGTGTCCACAGAGAACCCACGCAGGTAGATGGTGTGTTTATGCGGGACAGGACAGATCTTGTCGTCTGTTTGTTGACTAACGGTAAATGGTAATCAATTAAGCGCGCACCGTATGTTGCGGCCTTACCTTACCTTTGTGCTCTGACACCAGGGGTTTAAGGTTTTATTACTTTATTTGCGTATTGAAAACAACCTAACTGTTTGTCTATGCACAAACGGGCACGCACACACCATACAATACACCCACACACACACAATATATATGTAAACAAGGTTTGAAGCCAGGAAAAGCGGCTAAATACCCTGTTATCGCAGACAGCTACGAACGAACGTCACTCTAATTAATCACTGTCCCCGCCGTCTTATTATTCGTTAAAATTTCGTAACGATTGGGACAGACGCGCTATGCTGATAATTCAAAAACTCACTCGAATCGTCGTGACTTGCTTTGTTACTTATTTCTAAAACAAAGAACTAACTAAATATACAAAAAAATTATTTATATACTAACATATGTGCAGTGGAAATTCAACAAGTAGAAACAAACTCACGGTATATTTGACGGTCCTGAATAGATTGAAAATATGTTGATATCAGTGTGATATCAGTGAAACTATCGACCAAAAATATCGATTGACATTGATTCAATTTTGTTCCAGCTAATCAGTGTACATGAAGCATTGAAAACTGGCAACTCTGAGCACTATCGGAGCTACTTTTACAACTATTACATTTTATCAATTTTACATGTGGCTGTTATTTCACGTCTTTAGATCACCCGCGACACTTAATTCTTCTTATCGATGCACAGGGTTAGTTGGAACAAAGTATCGGTATTTTTGTGCGATAAGCAAAACTTATCGGTAAACACCATGCAAAACAAAACAAGTTAATATTAAATATCCAGCACAAAGTTCAATGTTTTTAAAGTCTACGCGAGATATTGGATCACCATAGCGATAAGTATGTAGGCGATGCTCCTTCGGTTCTCCTGGAAATCGAGTGGCATCTGGCGCGGTGTAAACGAAAAATTCAGTTCATACAAATGATTGTCGTCGTCGTCGTCGTAGTCGCGCACAACAACAAACATATTTATACCCAACATTTCGACACAACTTAGAGTAGCCTAACACGTTTCATATGCTTGCATGTATATTTCGTAATGTGTACAAAAGGAACTAGTGCTTTGTAGACTGATCACAGACACAGACGCGACGCCCGTGAGATGGCTGCGATTAAGGTAAGAAGGGCCGTCTCCGCCTACATAATACCTGATTTAAATGCGTCGTTGTACACCACCACCCGCAGAACATCGCGTACGGCATACTGTACGGGCTGTGGGACAGCATACGTGGCATGACCCTCGTCCTGCACATTGACAACGAGGTGAATCGCCAAAATGCAGAGCAGGAAATGCGACAAATGCGCAGAACGGATAAGGATCGCTATGAGCGGGCGCGTAGGTCGCCATCGCCTGTGCCCAGCTCTGCGGCGGCCATGATTCGCGAGGAGTACGCCAAGCGGGCCGAGGAGAACTCCGATGAGCGGAGTCTGCAGAAGATCCTAAACCAGAAACCCGCCGCCGAGAAGGAGAAACAGCCGCAGGGGTACGTGACACAAAGACAGCTTCTGCTGCTGCTGCTCAGCATGACTAATCTATTTATTGCGCACTTGCGTTGCCTCCTGCCACCCTCCAACACAGCGAGAAGAAGATTGCCAAGAAGCTCTTCAAATGCTGCATGCTCAACGGCGGCTTCACCTGGCTGAGCATCGAGCTCTTCGAGTCGGCGCTGCTGCCCACGCTGAAGTTCTGCCTGACCATCTTCTATGGCGACCAGTCGGAGACACTGCCCGTGGTTTGGGCCTGGCTGCATCCGATACTGTCGCTGCTCTTTGGCATGATGTGGGTGCTGCCCATATTTATGCTCTCGAAGATTGTCAGCTCGCTGTGGTTCGCGGACATTGCCAATGCGGCGTATCGCGTGCGTAAGGGTCGGCCACAGCTGATACCGGGCATCAGCAAACTGGTGGCCGATTTCCTCTTCAGCATGGTCGTGCAGATGCTGTTCCTGGTGCAGAGTATGCTGGTGAATCTGGTGCCGGTGAAGTATGTTGGCTCCTCGCTCTGCTTTGTGCACCTGTGCCTGCTGTATTCGCTGTACTCGTTTGAGTACAAGTGGTTCAACATGGGATGGGAGCTGCATCGACGCCTCACCTACATTGAGAAGAACTGGCCGTACTTTTTCGGCTTTGGCATACCGCTGACAGTGCTCACGAATCTGTCCAATTCGGTGATTGTAAGCAGCTGCATCTTCTCCATATTTTTCCCCCTCTTCATACTCAGTGGCAACGAGGCCCAGCCCATGGTGGACACCACGTAAGTGTGACAGATTGTGCGGTAATATATTTTGGTCTAAAAATAAACTCTGCCCTCCTCTAGTGAGATCTCGCTGCGTCTCTTCTCGCCGGTCGTCTTCATATCGAACCTCTGCTTCGGCGGCAATCCGTGGAGCAAGGCCAACCGGCTCAGTGCCATGCAGCGTCAGCAGTACGAACTGCAGCAGCGCCAGCGCCTACTCCAGCGCGAGGAGCAGCTGCTGAAGCAGCGCAAGCAGCAGTACATGGAACAGCAGCGCATGCAAATGCGTCGCGAAAGGTCGCACTCGCGTTCGCAAACGCCGCAATTGGCGCCGGGCACGGGGCCACCGTATAGATACGCCCAGGCGCCGGTGTTTGATGCCGCCCGAGTGCGAGACTCCTCCGCCTCGTCGACGCACAGCTCGACATCGCCGAGCATCAGCAGCTACCGCCCTCCGCCGTACTATAGCAGTTCGCTGCGCGGCGCCACACCGCTGGTGCCCACACCCGTGCCTGGTGCACCCCAAGCACCGCTTACCCCGCCCGTCATTCGACAGGAGACGGGGCCAGATGACTGGAATTTGTGAGATTTATGCATATACAACTCCTAGGCTTATAGGCTTTATATACATTATATATTAATTAATTGGATCGATGTGCGTGAGTGTCGTCTTTGTGGACTGTGTCGTGTAAGTGTAATAACTATAACTAAATATATAACTAGGGTCTATGAATAATGACAAATGTTCGCTAGTCGACGCCGCGGGCCCATCCCTTCGACTGGGGGCATCACTATATCTATATAGCTATGTAAATGCGGTTCGCTGCAAACTGCTGCATAATTTGTTTAGATTTCGATTTTTATTTTTAGGTCGCGTTTTCGCTTTGATAATTTCTTGTAGGGCGCACTCTACAAACAAATTACTTTCGTTTATTTTTAATTATCAATCAAAACTAAAAAATAAAAACATTTTGTACTTTTGTCAAATTTATGTTGTGTTTCTTCTGAATTGAATGTGCAGCAGTGCTTTATCTTCGTTTGATTAGAAATATAATGAGTCAGGCTGGGAGGGCTAATCGGCTGGTGCGAAACTGATAGGTGGGTGGGGCATGCATTGAATATTCATAATTGGGAACCAAGCAAATCTATTTTTATACTCAAAGATTAAATTCGTCTAGTTGTAATGTAACCGCCAGACACCATAAAGTATATATAAAAATATTCTTGATAAGCATTTAATCGATTTACAGTCTGAGAGACAACAACAATCAACAATATCTCGTGGCTGACCCCCTGCCACACGCTTGCTCTATACAGCGCCTCTTTGGTGGAATGAGCGAGATATATTAGCTGGATGGTAATACGTTGAGAGGAAGAGGGAGATATGGGAGGAAGAATGAATTCTCTTTTAGACTCTATATAAATAATAATACAAATTCTCCTGATTCTTTCGTTTCCAAAATTTAATTCCAATTAATTTCGTTCGGGGAAATTGCTCAAGCATGTAGCTTTCCCTCCAGCCCCAATATCCAATAATCATTTCATGTTTATGTGACAATATAACAAGCTACTCAATACCTCATAATAACCCGCCTACCATTAACCCATTCCATTCCGATTCCGTTCCTCAAAACACCAATAGCCGCCTAATTATCGCTCGAGTTTTGTTCCGGCACGAACAGCAGACTGGACACAGAATGTGTGGGTGGTGTGGGGTTGGGAGGTGATTACATAGTAAATTGATTATCACCAAGGTTACACACATGTCCACACATTGTCCGCGCGTTGAAAGTGAAATTGTCAGTGGCATTGGTTGAGGTATCCTTTGCCGACAGGACATGCCAGCTCAGTTGTAATTTGTAGTTGGTGGCGTGCGGTCAATTGCTGAGATCTCGGAACGGAACCCCCCCACCTATGTGCTCGCCACCATGTTGGATGTTTGCTTAAAGACTTTCAAATATTTATGGCTGCTCGGATTGTGGACACTCCTGAGCGGTTGGAATCGGGAGATAGTGGCCCAGACGTCACAAAATATTAATGTGTGTAAGTGTTGAAGCCATCGATTTAAAAATGAACGTAAAGGACATATAGATATAGATATAGGAAAAGAATAATTGCACTCTGAGTAAGGGGATTGTGGAATTTTTTAAAATATATGTGATGGGATCTAATTAGTCTCCAAAAAATAATAATAATAAAAATAACATTAATAAAGTGCATGCACTGGAAAGAGTATTTAGGCTATCAAATTATTCACAAAAAATATACATGGAATATGCCACGAACATTCTACAAAATATATTTCCAAATTATTCTTAATAATTTAATTTAATTTTTTTGTATTATTAAAGTAATGTGATTAAATAAATGTTAAAATACAAAAAACCTTTAAGAAATTTTAAAATCGTAAATCAGCCGAATATTGAATTTTTAGTTTTAGTTTTTTAGTTGCAAAAATAGGAATATAAATAATATTTATAATTTATTTCAATATTGAATAGTTAGGATAAAAAAGCCCAAATATATGGTAAATAATTAATGGCGAAATAATGAATTAAAATAGAATTTTTATATGGTACAAAAAATACTTAATTTTCCATTAAGCACACAAACTAAACTAATTAGGAAAAAAGGTGGGGAAAGTTGATTGTCTTGTAGATTGCTGAAAAAATAAATATATATTATAAGTGCTTGAACGAGGGCAAGTAAACAGTTGCAAAGCCACGTAATGCATTTGTAATCTTCCATGCTACTCCTCCAATCCAATCCAATCCCACATTGGGTTGTTAGTCTTCATCAATGAGGTGGACAACGAGCCGGCGGCCAAGGCAGTGGATGTGGTGCTCACGTATCTGAAGAAGAACATGCGCTATGGCCTGTCCGTGCAGATTGAATCGATTGAGGCCAATAAAACGGACGCCAAGGTGCTGCTGGAAGCAAGTGAGTGAAATGTGCGAAATCCTCTCCGAATCAGCTATGATCTGCTGGTCATTATTCCACTTCAAAGTTTGCAACAAGTATGCCGAAAGCATTGAGAAGAAAATGATGCCCCATCTGATTCTGGACACCACCAAGTCGGGCGTGGCCTCGGAGACGGTGAAGAGTTTCACCCAGGCCCTGGGACTGCCCACCATCAGCGCCTCGTACGGACAGGAGGGGGATCTGCGGCAGTGGCGTGACCTGGACGAGGCTAAGCAAAAGTATCTGCTGCAGGTGATGCCGCCGGGCGACATTATACCCGAGGTCATACGGAGTATTGTGCGGCGTCTCAACATCACCAATGGTAGGAAAATGTATCCCATTCCAACCGCTCTTTACCCCTGAGTGTTTCTGTATCTTTTCCGCCAGCTGCCATCCTATATGACGCGACCTTTGTGATGGACCACAAGTACAAGTCGCTGCTGCAGAACATTCAGACGCGTCATGTGATCACAGCCATTGCCATGGAGGGCAAGCGGGAGCGCGAGGAGCAGATTGAGAAGCTGCGCAATCTGGACATCAACAACTTCTTCATTCTGGGCAACCTACAGTCGATTCGCATGGTCCTTGAGTCGGTGAAGCCCGCCTACTTTGAGCGCAACTTCGCCTGGCACGCCATCACCCAGAACGAGGGCGAGGTGAGCAGTCAGCGGGACAATGCCACGATTATGTTCCTCAAGCCCATGGCGTATACGCAATTCCGGGATCGCCTGGGCCTGCTGCGCACCACCTACAACCTGAACGAGGAGCCCCAACTGGCTTCAGCGTTCTACTTTGATTTGGCGCTGCGCAGCTTTCTAACCATCAAGTGAGTGCGGTGAAATATTTTTGGGGTTTTCCAAGCATGAAGAACACACACAATTTAAAGGATACAGCAATATAATTTCCATTGCTTACGTAATGCCAGCCCGTTCACCCCTCTTAGTACTTTTTTACTTCACTTTTAAGATAGATTAATAGATAAATCCCATTCGCGATTATCTGATGAGTATGAGTATTGCGCTTGTTCCTTGTTTCCTTAGAGAAATGCTTCAATCGGGCGCCTGGCCCAAGGACATGGAGTATCTGAACTGTGACGACTTTCAAGGCGGCAACACACCCCAGCGGAACATCGATCTACGGGAATACTTCACCAAGGTGGGTGTCTGTCTGTCGTCTGTCTGTCTGCAAGTGTTTTGCCTGGCAATTATGGTTGATTACTAAAAACTCCCGATTCCCGCCTCCCGACTGTAGATAAGCGAACCCACATCGTATGGCACTTTCGAGCTGGTCACGCAACCGAAGCAGGCATTCAACGGCTTCAGCTATATGAAGTTCGAAATGGATATAAATGTGCTGCAGATACGTGGCGGCAGTTCGGTGAATAGCAAATCGATTGGCACATGGACAGCTGGCCTGGACTCGCCGCTCTCCGTCAAGGATGAGGAGCAGATGAAGAACCTCACAGCGGATACGGTGTATCGTATATACACTGTTGTGGTGGGTGCCAGCTATATGCTATCCCTTGTATCCCTGCTATCCGAAGGTGTAACTGACTTTCTGCCACTCTGATCCCACAGCAAGCTCCGTTCATCATGCGCGATGAGACCGCTCCCAAGGGCTACAAGGGCTACTGCATCGATCTGATCAACGAGATCGCCGCCATTGTGCACTTTGACTACACCATCCAGGAGGTGGAGGATGGCAAATTCGGTAACATGGATGAGAAGGGCGAGTGGAATGGCATTGTGAAGAAGCTCATTGACAAGCAGGCGGACATTGGCCTGGGCAGCATGTCGGTGATGGCCGAGCGCGAGATTGTCATTGACTTTACGGTGCCCTACTACGATCTGGTGGGCATCACCATCATGATGCAGCGTCCCAGCTCGCCCAGTTCGCTCTTCAAGTTCCTCACTGTGCTGGAGACCAATGTGTGGCTGTGCATCCTGGCCGCCTACTTTTTCACCAGCTTTCTCATGTGGATCTTTGATCGGTGGAGTCCGTACAGCTACCAGAACAACCGCGAGAAGTACAAGGATGATGAGGAGAAGCGCGAGTTCAATCTGAAGGAGTGTCTGTGGTTCTGCATGACCTCGTTGACACCCCAGGGCGGTGGTGAGGCACCCAAGAATCTGTCCGGACGTCTTGTGGCTGCCACTTGGTGGCTTTTTGGGTGCGTTTCATCCGCTGATCCGCTCTCGTTGCTTGTATTATATTCGTTCGCCTTAGGTTTATCATCATTGCCTCGTACACGGCCAATTTGGCGGCTTTTCTCACCGTCTCCCGCTTGGATACGCCCGTCGAGAGCCTGGACGATCTGGCCAAGCAATACAAGATACTCTATGCCCCGCTCAACGGCTCCTCGGCCATGACATACTTCGAGCGCATGGCCAACATCGAGCAGATGTTCTATGAGATCTGGAAGGATCTGTCGCTCAATGATTCACTGACGCCGCTGGAGCGTTCGAAGCTGGCCGTTTGGGATTACCCGGTGAGCGACAAGTACACCAAAATGTGGCAGGCCATGCAGGAGGCTGCTCTCCCGGCCACACTCGATGAGGCCGTCGCACGCGTACGCAATTCAACGGCTGCCACGGGCTTTGCTTTTCTGGGAGACGCCACCGATATACGGTACCTGCAGTTGACCAACTGCGATCTTCAGGTGGTGGGCGAGGAGTTCTCCCGAAAGCCCTACGCCATAGCAGTGCAGCAGGGCTCCCATCTAAAGGATCAGTTCAACAATGCGTAAGTTTGGCAATCGAAATATATGTAAGAGCATCCATTAGGTTGACTGACTTGAATCCCTGCAGCATTCTAACGCTGCTCAACAAGCGACAGCTGGAGAAGCTCAAGGAAAAGTGGTGGAAGAATGACGAGGCGCAGGCCAAGTGCGACAAGCCGGAGGATCAGTCGGACGGCATATCCATACAGAACATTGGCGGCGTCTTCATTGTCATCTTTGTGGGCATTGGCATGGCCTGCATTACGCTCGTCTTTGAGTACTGGTGGTATAGCTACCGCAAGAATCCGCGCATTATCGATGTGGCCGAGGCCTCCACTGCAGATCGTGCGAATCTTAAAGACGCTGCTGGCAAGCTGGTCGATGGCGTCATTTTGGGCAATTCGGGTGAAAAGTTTGAAAAGTCAAATGCTGCACTGCGTCCACGCTTTAATCAGTATCCGGCCACGTTCAAGCCACGTTTCTAGGAGAACTCTACTTACTGGATAGTTTAACGCGCACGGAGAATGTCTACGTCTAGCAATTAAGTCAATTTGGTGCACTTTTTGCACTTTTATTCAATTCGTAATAAATGTTTAGCAAATTCAGTTAAAATGTAGTTCCTTACCAACACTACCAAAAAGTATCGTTCCCTATGGAGATATCGATACTAGCGTGGTCGTCCGCAAATGTATTCCACTACATTTCAATTGAAGACCAACCAGCAATGGAAACCAGGTGAGAGATTAATAAATAAATAATTTATACCACGTAAATAATCACTAACGCTATCTTTCAGACTAGATTGATTCTTAACGTGTAGTGGAATACGAGCAGAAGTTCCGCTTATCGCACACAAATATCGACATTGCTATTGCCTACAAATACACATATCGATAGTTCACTTAATTCATTCAACGATCCCCAGCGGCTGATAAAAACACTTTTCGATTCCATTATTCCGTCATATTTCTGCCAAATTTCCACCAAGTTGAGCAGTTGTTTACACAAATTTGTAGATACACAGAAATGGGTGACAGCTCGGATGACGAATACTTAGGCACGGAATGGATTCCGTACAGCGAGCGTGCGGAGTGGGCCGATTTAACACCGCTGGCCCAGGATGATGGTCCCAACCCAGTTGTGTCCATAGCCTACAGCCAGAAGTGTGAGTAATGCCGAGAATGAGATTAAACAAACAAGCGACAAGCGAGTGTGCCAGACTAACTGACTGTGTGTAATGTTTGCTTGCAGTTCGCGAGGTATTCGATTACATGCGTGCCATAATTGCCCGAGGCGAGAAGAGCCAGCGGGCCTTGGATCTGACCACAGACGCACTGCGTCTGAACCCGGCCAACTACACGGTGTGGCAGTACAGGCGCGACATACTGCGAGAACTGAAGGCCGATCTGAATGTGGAGCTCGACTACCTAAGCGAGGTAATCGGCCAGAACTCGAAAAACTATCAGGTGTGGCATCACAGGCGCGTCATTGTCGAGATGTTGAACGACGCCAGCAACGAGCTGGAGTTAACAGAGAATGCACTAATAAACGATGGAGATGCCAAGAACTATCACGCGTGGCAGCATCGCCAGTGGGCCATACGCACATTCAAGTGAGTAGGGGAAGTCAAACCTTTGTTTCCTGCAGGGCTAATTTTTGACATTCCCTGCAGCCTCTATGATTCGGAGCTGTCTTTTGTGGATCGCTTGATCGGTGAGGACCAGCGCAACAATTCGGCTTGGAATCAGCGCTTTTTTGTGATCAAGCACTTGGGCTTCAGCCCCAACCTGGTCGATCAAGAGCTGATCTACGCCATGAATCGCATTCGCATCATCAAGAATAACGAGAGTGCCTGGAACTATTTGGTAGGCGTCATACGACAGAGCAAGTACGGCGACGGGCTACTAAACAACCATCCGGCGGTGGTGGAATTCGCTGAGGAGCTCTACCAGACCGGCAACCGTTCGCCATATCTGATGGCCTTTCTGATTGACCTCTACCAGGAGCAGGCACTGCAGCAGGACATCAGCGAACGTGAACAGAAAGCGCGCAAGGTGTATGGCCTGTGCGACGACATGTCCAACAAACACGACGTGATTCGCCGCAAGTACTGGCAGTATGTGGCCAACCATTTGAAGGCACAGCTAAAAAAGAGCTCTGAGAAGGCGAATTAATAGTTCCATCGGCTGCATCATTCGCTTTCGACTTAGTTTTAAATCTATCTACGTACTTAGGCCTTCTTTATACAGAAATAAAATTAAAATTTAACCAACTTCGAAGGTTTCCCACCCATCATCAGCCATGTTGCAAGCCCCAAACTCAGAGCATTGCCACATCTATAAATATATCATCTTTCAAGCATGTTTATGTTGCTGTGCAAAGTGCTTTTGTGTTTGCCGCATTGCCTTGCCTTGCTGCTGCTGCTGCTGTACCGCTTTGTTTATCTAAGCGCGCCGGCGTATTTGTACACGTAAATTTCATTAACAAAGAGGCAGATAATTTTATGTACTCTAGCTAGTGGCTGGCTCTGTTACTGTTTGAGTGGCACAAGTCAGCCCATAAATTATAGAAAATAATTGTATGTTTTGCTGTTTGGTATGAACAAATTTTCGTGTGTAAATCCCAGTCAGCTACAAATTGTTCTGGGAAATATGTAGATGTGAAGTGGGTAGCTTATTTATGCTTTGATAGTAGAATACTTTCATTTAGAGCGTGGAAAATGGCTAGAATAGGAAAGGAAAAATCATTTTTGGAGTGTGAAATATAAGCTACACTTTTAGTTTCTATGGAAAGGCCAGTATCTGACTACAAATGTACTACATATATTAACGAACCGTTCATCAAGATAAACATCATTTTAACATTTGTTTTTCGATTCATCGTTCTGGTATGCGGCTCTTGGATTTTGGGTATGCAAAGCAAGAAGAAAGCTCACTAAAATCCATCAGTAAAATATATATAAGTTAGATACAACTCCTGTTGCTAGTCATAAATCAAACTTAAACTCCTTTTGGGTCAATTCTTCTAGAACCGCAACCAGAAAAGATATCATGATAATTTTAAGAGCTACAAGCAACTGGCGAAAAGTAGGATACCCTCGCATAGAGTATCAAATGTTTTCGGGTTTTATCTCTAACTGCTGTAATTGGTTATCTCGTTAGTTTGGCGTGCAGCGACGTGGAGTGGAGTGCAGGAAAGACCTTCAGAGTTGCTGTCTCAATATTGTTATTTATTTAAATTTGCTTCATTAGGTTTTTGTTTCTTATGTTTTTTTTTTTGTTGTCGAGTACATACAATATAGCAGTTTTTGTAATATATAACTTTTTCATTAAATTTGATTTTCTTGCATATATTTTTTGAGTTTTTATAATTGAAATTCTCCGCAGGGTTAATACCGATCGATATCACCCACGTGTGAGAGTGGGATTGGGATTGGGTAAGGGGGGATTGGGGGGGAATATGTACTTAAAATCAAGCAGAAGACATCTTTGGCGTGTTTTTTTTGAATTTCTTTTCTCTTGTTTCTTGTTTTTTTAGTTCAGCTAAATAGGAGCAAAAAATCATTGATCATTGAGTACTCGTTTGCATAGTTTAATAAAATTTGGTAATAATAAAATATATATATTTATTTGTTGTTATATTTTTTGTGTTTGGTTTTCGCTTTTTTGTTTGATCGTTTTTGTTATCCATTCATTTGGGGGCTCGTGTGGGTATATATATATAAATTTGAAAAAAGCCTATAAATCCAAATATTCTCATCCTTTTAGCACAAAAATCAAATCATTTCGTTTGGGCACAGAAATTATTTTTTAATATTATCTGAAAAATATATATATGTATTGTAGGTTTGTGTATTGGATTCATTAAATTGTCACAAAAAGAGGAGGAGGAAACGTGTGCAAAGCTCTGTTCCATGGGCCCAAGCGAAATACTTCTTTGATTTCTTTATTATTTCCATTCAGAGAGTTTGTTGTTTTGTTTTGGTGTTTTGTTGTTTGTTGCGTGGAGAGCCAGAAGAGAGAAGTTAGTTAGTTTGTTGTGTTTCGTTTAGTTCATTTAACAATTTGATATATAGAGTTAATATATTATATATATATAATAGTTTATAATAAATTGATGCGCTCCGTTTTTTCTTCTCCCATTCATTCATTCGTTCGTTTTGTGCTTGTTCCACGTTCTTGGAGTTCATTTTTGTAAAAGCATTTTTAGCAAAAAATTAAAAGTTTCTCTCTCTCTCTCTCTCTGTGTCTCTCTGTCCGTGTTCGGTTCCATTTTTAAAAGTTTTGCGAACTTCAGCGGTTTTGTTTGTTTCTCTGGTTCGTTCTCTACGTAGACTTTGATCTCGAATTGTTATCAATACCCCCATATAAAATAAATCCTTTAACTGCTGTCGAAATGTCCCGTACTCCGACGCCGTCGCATTCTACATAAGTATTCTGTGTGTGAGGAAGCTTCATATACCATCTATAAATATACTCGTATTCGTACTCGTACTCGTACTCGTACAGTTCCCATTAATATATGTTGTATGTTTTGTAATTGTTTTTTAAAAAATCAGCGCCACTTATTTGTGCCTTGTCCTGTCTGTCCTAATGAGTCCTAAGTGGGTGCTTACAGCATTAAGCATTAAGTATTTGCGTAGGCATAGGCGCCGAAACTGTTTCTTTCGCATCTGTTTGTCCTACTTGTCCTCGCCGATGCCCTCGTCGCCCTCCCCCTGCGCACCAGCCTTGCTACGGATATCACATTTTTCAGCCAACATATCCTCGATGCCCTCGTCGACGGTCTGGCTCTGGCTGTCGCAGCCGGGCACATGCTTGCGCCCCGCCACAATGACGCACTCGCCCTGAGGTAATGGCGGAAACTTGGCATAGGATGAGTTACTAATGGTGCCCACAGTGCTGTCCTCGTAGCAGTCGGGCGTCATACGCACGCGGCATGTCTCGAAGGCCTTCTCGTAGCCAAGTTTCGTGTACAGGTTGCGGGACGCATCATTCTGTGGACGTATCACAACGAAAGGCGTATAGCCGCGCTCGATGACCAGCTGGGTCAAAGACTTGGCCAGACGGATGCCGTAACTGCAAAAAAAAAAAATATCAATTTTTGGATTTAAATTCAAGGCTCTATGTTCATGCTAGTATACAGTCATATACTCACCCCATGCGTCGATAATCTGGACGTGTTTGCATTGAGAACATGGCACCATAATACGAGTGGACCATCCATGCGGCCAGCTCGTCGGTGTCCTTGCGAAAGATGCCCAAGCCGGGCAGCTTGCGCACGAGTATATCAAAGAGCTGGACGCATTCGATTTCATTGGCAGGATATAGATCGTGTATGCCCTGCACATTATCGAGGGTCAGCAGACGCATCTCCGCATCCTCCGGCAGCGGCTCCAGTTCCAGTTCGGCATTGAGCTTCTTGCACACATAAATATCACCACTGAGTCGCTCCATCACACCAAACTTCGAATAGAAGTCATCCAGGCGATTCATAATGGCGATGTGCGTAAAATTCAGGTACATAGGCTTCTGCCAATCTATAAGTACATTTTCGGTGCGCATCATATCGACATGCTCGATGTGTGCAGATGGACAAAATATGCCAAGTGTTTGGTAAATATTGTTGTGCGGCTACAAATAAAATTTCAATTAAATTTCCATCAATTTAAGCTTTAGTTTTTCTGTGTACGTACCGCAAGCGTGCATCCTGGAAAATGAAGAATTATTGGCTTTTCTGGCCAATCTTTAGCAACATAAAACTTAAAGTCCCAAATACGATCATTCAGGTACGTTTTTATGGTTTGATGAAACTGCAAAGAAAATGCAACAAAAAATTAATTAAAATGTGAATATTTTACTTCATTTTATAATAAAAGGAAAGGTTAGATCGGGACAGCTAAGCAGTACCGTGGAGCTGCCTATTTGCTTCTAGACTACCTCTAGAATTTAGGGCATAAATAAAGATAATTTCCAGATACATTTCATGCCTTTTACTCCTTTGTATTTAAGGTACAGCCTAGTCTATGGGTGAATAATAATTCTGCAATAATTCTGCAACTTTCTTTGTGGCTGCCTGACGCTAATACCCCTCATTGCACATCAAAAATAATATCAATTTAAAGCTCAACAAATATTTATCAAAACGAACATTTATCCCTAAAAGCCGCTTGAATGCAGAAATTACCACAAAAATATATTCACAGCTGTAGCGAGGCGAGGCGCAGCGAGTCACGTGTTGGTGGCAATTCGCATTCACAAAGCTGTTGGTAAACGCCCCGAAAAAGAAAAGAAAAGAAAAGTTTTGCTCACTGAAAATCGAAACTTTAGCCAACTTTCAAATCCTTGAGGCTGGTGCCAAGCCGCCGAAAACTCCCTGCCACAGATATAGCCGCCAAGGCACGGGCTGGGGCATGGAGCAGGCTGGCAGGGTGGCGGGGCAAAGAAGAGAAGTCAGCGTAAACAGTGGAAAAACAGGTCAACAGAACCAACAACAACCAAAAATGCGAGTCCGGGCTCCATGAGGTTTGAGGTTGCATGACTTGTGGTCTGGGTGGGGTTCTGTGGCGACGCCTCCTGACGGCCGCTTCGCTGCGGTTCGGTTCGGGATCCTGCAGGTAATTGTTGGGAAATTATCCGAGAAATAGGGGCGTGGTAACTATTTTCTGGCCTGCCTCTCAAATGGCTCAATGGCTTACACAGATAAAAAGGAAAGGAGAGGAGAGAGCGAACAGCAAGGGAAGCATGGGAAGGGAAGGGATAAATATTTACGTACCTTTAATGATTCCGGCAGATAGCGCTCTAAAGTTACCAAAATTTCGGGAAGCTCTGATTCATGCACCAAACGAAAGTGTTTACCTTCAGGAATGATTTCCATTTCTGTCGAAAAAAAATACAAAAAGAAAATACAAGAAAATGTTAGTTTAACTTGGGGTTAATCATTCTGCAAAAGTTTACCAAGGATTCTTTTTCTCTCTGGGCTATACTTATACAATATATGTATGTAAAGAAACCCGCACAAGGTCTCACGTTTTGGCCTCTTTCAAGGCCAGAGCTCAACGACAAAGTGAAATGAAAATTCACCAAAAAAAAAAGAAACACGGGAAAGAGAGTGGGCGCCGCCGCCACACACACACACAACCGGATGGCGAGGATGCTCTGTTGCAAATGCTTCTGCGGCACATGTGCACACATATGTACATATGTGGTTGCCGCTTGTTACCTGTTTAGCCATGCAAATGGCTGTGCTGTGTTGTTGTGCATCGGAAGGACATGACATCAGCAATTGAGCCAAATTGAACCAGCAAAGTGCAATGCCAAAATACGATTATTTTTTTGAGGGGTAATCATCTAAATTTCGCTCAATAAACAATTTGTTTTGATTAACTGAAATTTGAGCCAATTAGCGTCCAACTATTTTGATTCAATAATTTGGGGGGTGCACTTAAATGGGCGACCATATGGGGAGTCCTTGAATTGCATTCCTGCAGCTCCCTTCTATAACTTCAGGATAAAATAGGTAATAACTTCTATATCTAGGGGTTTTTTCATCCCAAAACTTTGCTCTCAAGATTATTTGCCCGCTGCCTCTTCTGCCCCTTCTGCCTCTTCTGAACTCTGATATTTTTTTTGGCACTTTAATTTTTTGTTATGGTGTTTTTGCTTTTTTGATTGATTGCCGTTTTGTGATTGATTGACTAATGCGCCAAATATCATTATCCTTCACTCGTCCATGGACTGGCACTCTGCTCTCCTCTCCTCTCCTCTGCACCGCCCCCCTGGGGGTTACTATGACTATTTACTGCAGTTATTTTGGTGTGCTGTGCTGTGTGCCCCAAAATGAACGTAATAATGGGGCACACATGCTGGCTGGAATTAGTATTAGTCATGTTGTGCATACATAACCCAAGGTGGATGGGTAGGGTGGAACCCCGCCCTGGCCAGACTGTCAGCGGGGTTGGTTGGGCACCACTGGCCAAGATATGCCACGTATCTGCATCACGTCTGCTCTGGCTCAGACAGTACAGAAACAGAAAAATGTGTGTGTTCCTCTTACTCTTAAATGCAAGACAAAATCAATATCAGACCTAAGCGTTTTTTCTATTCCTGTGAAGAGCACACACTTGGGTTGGGTGGGGGGATTGCATGATGAAACATAATGAAGGGAGACCGAGTCGCGACCAAGACCGACGTTGTGATATTACAATTTTTTGTTGATTTTTATGGATAAAAATACCGTTGACATTTCACAGCGACACCCCCCACGGCGATCCGTGTGCCGACACCGACATGGGCCCAGACCAAGTCAGATTCCCCGATTACCCGATTCCCGTTGTTCGCACTCCCCCTCCTTCCTGCCGTGTAGTACCTGTGGCATGCCATCGCACTTGTCAGCCAATTTATTTTGTTTTTGGTTCTTTTTGCTGTTGGCCTAATTATTGAGATGCCGTATGGCTGCGATGCGATGCGTTAATTTTTAAGAAGCCCCTGCCCGAGGGTCTCATGAATTTGCCATGAAGTTTCGTTCTGCGTTCCCAAGAAATGGCCAAGAAATGGGATGCGAACACGAGGGTTGAGGTTGAGAAATGCAGAAAGTGAAAGGCAGGGGGATGAATGTGAGAGTGCAAGGGGAATGCGAAGAATGGGACAGATTGGCAAAATTCCAGGAGGGCGAAAATTAAGGAAAAGAATTAAGGAAGTGGGAAAAGAATTGCAGGAGAAAATTGAATGGAGTTCTGCATAATTTGATGGATAGGATTTGGAGGATTAAACAACAGAAGAATGAAGATGCAGAAGAAATAAGATCTGTTGAAAATAATCAGGAGCATTTGAAAGCGGAAAGAGATTGAGAAATCAAGGTAAAAGGATAGAAAGAGGAACAATAATGAGGAAAATAATAGAAAGATCGATAAGAGCGAGGGAGTGATGACAAAATGGAAGAATTACATTAGGTGGAGAAAAGGGGATTAGGATTAAGAAAGAAGGAACAATTCATTAAGATGAACAGGAAGACAAGGCTCAGCATTGACAAAGAATTTATAAATTAAGAACCGAAAGACTAGCAAAAAGGAAAATTCTACGCTAAATAAAATCCAAGAAGAGACAAGTACCAGAAGATGATTGGAAAATCGAGGTTTGGAAACACAGGGTGAAACACGATTATAACGATGTTGATCTAATTGATGTTAATAGTGAACCAAAAGGTTAGGTTAAATGAATTTAAAACGAAAGAAAATTCAAAAAAATCCAAACAAACTAAATAAAATAAAAATGAAAAAGTTAAAATGATAAAATTTTCAACTCCTAAAAGTTCAATAAATTTATCAAAAAATAAGTAAAAACTGTACCATTAAATCATTTAAATATTTAAGCTTTCATTTCTATTAGTTATCCATCGAGAATCCAAACTTTCTTCAAAGCAGTTCACAAATACATCTTAGCCAGCATTCTAGCTGGCTGATTTGTAGGGTGTTCAGCAATCGATTTGGTACATTAGTGCTGGGCCCTTGGCCGCAGATTTCAGAGATGCGATTTCTTGAGGCGCATCGCATCGCATCCCAGCCACGATAATTGACATGCACATGTGCATCTCTCTGGGCATGGCGCACAGAAATGTTAGCGACATTTTTGCAATTAAAACGAGAAAAAAAAGTGAATAAACCCAACCCACCCAAATATTCAGATAGATTTTGACTCTTATGATGCCTATGACTGCTGCTGAGTGCGGAACTTACAAAAAATATTAATTCCGTTGACCTTGTGTGAATTTTGTGTGTTGCTGTTGCTGCCTTCTGCTGCTGCTGCGGCGGTTCGGTGTCGTGCGGCTGCTGCTGCTGCTGCTGCTGGTGTAGTTCTTGGCCTTATCCTTCGAGGCGTGTCTGCGTCTGCTATTGCGTGTGCCGTATTTATTTATTTTACTTATTATATGTTATTTTTTGTTTTGTTTATATTTTGTTTTTGTGTTAAAATGTGTTTAATAAATTATATGAATTTATCATAGAATTTTTATTGGTGGTTTTTTGTTTTGGAAAAAGTGCAGTATGAAAATAATTGCTGTATTTATTCTTTTCTGTTTCTTTTTATATGCGAATCACAGATTTCTTTATTAAAAAATTCTTTTTAATTATTTAATGTAGTTTATTATTTTATATATTTTTATTTATTTAGCTCTGGATTTTATTGATAATTTTTGTGATGAAATTTCTTCGCTGCTTTTTTGGTTAGGCCTTTTTCGAATGGAGATGTCGGCAGGCTGAGAGTCACAGAGTGTGAGACAGAGAGAGACCCGCAATTGTATGTTGGATGATTGATTGATTGATTGATGGATGGAGCCTTCTCGTATATCGTATATCGATGCAGCACCGCTCGATAGACGCACACACAATTATCGTTTAAGCTGCTGGAACGCGGTAGTTTGTTCTCGCCTGAGGAACCCCTTTTTTTGGGTTTTGTTTTTGTTTTTTTGTAGCCCCCGTTGCACCTCCACACAGACAGGCCTAACCAGGCGGCGTCTGGCAGAACCGATGTGGCACGGTACTCTCTTTACGGCTGCACGGCCTGGGCTGTGGTGTCCCAAGGTACAACAACAGGCGTGTGTGCTGTGCTAGTCCAGCATGGCGAACCCAAACGAGAGCGAAGGGTTGATGCTGCTTGCTGCTGCCTGGTTACACTTTTTTTCTTGTGTGTTGTTGTTGTACTTGAATGTTTTTTTTCTTGGTTTAAATTTGTAGTTCGCGAAGCTTTTGTTTAATATATATCGTGTTTTAATTAGAAATTGATTTTCAGGATACGGTCTGGCCTGATTCTGCTTCCGTTTTGACTTATTTTCAGCTGCGGCTGCTGGCGCTGCGCCTGCTGCTGTCGCTGCTGCTGCTGCTGTTGTGTGTGGGCTGTAAATATGATTTGGTTTTTGGCTTTGGTTTTGCGACTGTCGTCTGGTGGGTCTCTGTGTGTCGTGGCTCCGAATCGGATTCGGATACCGTTTTGAGTTAATACCGTTTTCTGACCAGCCAGCCCCAAGGACGCAGACACACACACAGACACACACACGACACGCACACACACGACACGCACACTCACGTGAAGCACCCACACAGCACACAGTACCCACGCACAGGCAAATTGAGTTCTACTTCGGCTAATTTGATTGCGGCTGGGAGGGCTTTTGGATCAACGTTTTGCATCGACTGTGGATGTGAATTTGTTGCTGCTGGTTGCTGCTGGTTCCTGCTCTGCTGCTGTCTGCTCTGGTTGCTGTTGTTGGCTTTGCCTTCGCCTTGGATGGTTTATCCCTTGGTTATTGTGTTCCGCAATGAAAAAACACCCGAACTGAACTGACTGACTGACGACAACGATGTGATTTCGAGTCCCAAGGAGCAGAAGCACCAAAGCGGCAGGCCGCAGGAGTAGAAACAGCAGCAGTAGCAGCAGCAGCAGCAGCAGCAGCAGCAGCAGATGTTGCCACACGTTTCTATGCTATGCTGTTGCTGTTTTCACTGTTATTCGCTGCTGCCGTGACGCCGCTTCTTTTCCATATTGCAAATTCGAGAACGAAGCCAACTGCAACGTGGCAGCGCCGCCACCGCCGTCCGTCCTCTTCTATCGTACTGCGTCGCGCGAATTCGCTCTGCTCTCTCTGCGCTCAGGCTCTCGCTCTCGCTCTTGCCCAGTTGACTCTCTGGCCGTACACTTGCAGTAAAAAGGGTGTTCAAACGGCGGAACACCACAAACAACACACCCACGAGGACACTAAGAATCGATTGCATAATTCATTTCATTTCATTTTCTTGTCTCATGAAAAATTCGAATCTTTCGATGATAAAGGGGAAGCAAGAGCTCTGCCATGTACTGTCCGGGAAAGTGTCTCTGAAATTGGGATTAGCACATGGTACGTACTGCTTCCATTTTTTAGGTTTGTAATTAAAAGCCACTGTCATATCGAATTAAACAATTATGGAATCAAAGAAAACAAACGTTCCCGATTTAATTTTGATTTTTATATTAGTTTTGTTACAAAGGACTTACAAAATATGTACAAGAAGTTGGTTTTACAAACTTCAGATAACAAAACTCTCTTCTGGCGCATGCTAAATAGAAATCACCTCCTCCAGATTAATTAAAATAAAATAAAATTTTGAGTTATTCAAGTTAATTTATTCTTTTTTTTTATTCTAATTAATTTCTGGGTAATTATTTTCTTATTCCTGTGTTTGTGGCTATTCCAAATTTTCTTTTCCAGGTATTTTAACGCCGTCTAGTGTACACCTGTGCACTTTTGGTCACATCTGTCCGGGAAATGTCCCTCCCTTCCTTGCCTAATCTGTATGTCACGTACGAATTTCTCTCAGTGTGCCTGCTCTGTGTGTTTTTGCTCGTCCTGCTTGTGTTTACCTCCCACTTCGGACCGGACCCTGCAATTGTGTGCGTGTACGTGTGCAATGCGCTCACATGTTGCCATCACATTCGCTCTCCCACTCTCTCCCTCTCTCTCTTGATGTTTCGCGAAAGGAGCGTGTCCTGAAATGTGAGAGACGAAGGGAGTTTTTGGCTTTTGTTTTGCACGTTGCCGTGGCTGTTGCCGTTGCCGTTGCCTGGCGTAACGTAACTGTACACCGTAGCAGGAGGCAGCAGGAGCACAATTTTTTGCGCTGGATTGGGATGCGTTTTCTAAGCACATTAAGCGGCAACAACAGCCACAGCCACAGCAACATTTATTCACAGGCAACAACAGCCACAAAAGCGAGTAAACAGTTCGGCTAAAAGGAAAATGGCCACGGCGTCCGCGCAATAAGTATACGCCACGTTGTGCCGACACATTTTCGAGCACGTGTCACTAAAGCCGGCACTCGCTCGGTCTCTCTGTCTCTCTGTCTCTCTCTCTTTTTCTCTCTCTATGTGTGTGTGTGTGTGTCTCTCTGCGTTTTGTTTATGCCGCACAGCTGTGAGGATTTTGTTCGCCGGAGGAGAGAGGCATCCGCCACATCACCATCATGTCCCATGTCTATGCCGAAAAAAAAAATCCATTTTAATCGCCATCATTTCGAGCTGATATGCCTCCCTGAATGACCAGAAAACGTTTTGGGTACGGGACCCCAGCTCAAGGTCGCCTCCTCGGCCCATCCCAGTGGCGACTCTGCTGGTGGTTCATGTGTCTGCCATTGACATTTTTATTGGCACTAAGTGGTGCAGAAACTAGTTCCAGTTCCAGTAATTAAAGCAGACATGAAGACGCGCCAAAACACGCCCGGGGCGTTGAGTGTTGCATTCGAGTTGGGGCAACTTTCTGGGGACACACAGCACCGAACCCGAGCCCCAAACTCGCACACCCGTACCCGCCGCTATGCATCATGTTGAATCACGCAAATGCGAGGCAGCTTCAAGGCACGCAAAGACAATGACGCCAGTCCACCTCCTACGGCTCCTCCTGCTCCGTCGCTTCTTCGCACTCCGCCTTGGTGTCGAGGACGCATAACGATGGGTATGTAATCGTCGTCATAGCCAGCGTATCGTATCGTATCGTATCATAACAGTAGATATCCAAATGCTGCCATTTCCAAGGAAACTTTGCTCGTTAAACAAAATAACAGTTAGGCGCTCATTCCGACCTGGGGGGTTCCATGGCATTTAGTCAGGTGGATGCATGGGCTTGGGTTCTATTCTGTTCTCTGTTCTGTTCTCCGTTCTGTTCTGGCTGTGGCATTTGCGTAGGCTTGTGCGGTTAGACGAGCGAGCGAATAGGTTGGCCCCCCCAGTGAAGTGCCGACAACTGTTTGACAGTAAAACCGTTTGGCCTTCAGTGCACTTATTAAAATTTATATATTGCCAAAACTGTCAAAGCCAAAATACAGTGAAATCTATCCAAGGCAAACCATCTAGGGGCTTGGGGGGACTGTAAAAAGAAGAGTGAGTGCATTCCATGGGATTTATAAAATGTTAGCGAATAAATGAAGATGTCTGCACCAGGCAGCGGCAGCTGTTCACCAAGATTGCCTTTACTGTATGCACTGGGAGACGATGAGCTGCGAGAACATATAGTAGCTAGAAATAATAATAAATAAATAAATAAATGTCGCAATATACAGAGTTTTAATACAGTTTAGTACCCACATATTTATAATGTTAACTCAAACATCAATATTATTATTTTCTCCATGATTTTCAGCTAAATAAATGTATAATTTTCTTATATTCTTATTCTTAAATAAATGTATAATTTTCTCAGATCTTTTCTCTGTTCGCAGCTCCAGTTTAAAGGGTATGGATTCTGTTACTGAATACATAAACAGGATAAAACAGATGTTCACTGTGAATATTATAAGACACAAACTACTGATATTTACTGGCAATAGTCTTTACATATAATTTTGTATTTCTTTACTATAATTTCTGTAATATCTCACACTCCACTTCTCTTTAATTCAAGCACTAATTTGTACTCCTAATCATTGTTAGTTTTTGCAGACTTTTTTCTTTATCTTTTAATCTTTTATCTCTTGTGCTGCAAAATTTTAATTCTTTATAAAATAACTCCAATATATTGTTTAAAATCTTCGATTTCTAACCCAAAAGTTAGTTTATTATAATTAAAATTATAAACTTTTCTGATTAAATTTCTCTCAGTGCATGGATTTTTGTTCTGTCTTTTCTCGAACACCAAAATGAATGGCGGTGTTGACAAACGGCCTGGCCTGGAGAGCGACTTTTGGCGACTTTGGCGACTTTGGCGACTTGGGGACTCGGCCTTGGCATAAAGTTCGCCGCTGGCCTTTAATTAGCTTTAGTTCGGATTACTCATTCGATGCCTGGCACCCAGGCAGGGTCTGGGCCGTTTAGTTTTTGGTATGTAGATGGGGAACTGGCTCCATTGTTTCAACGGCGACGGCGAACGGCATGCGGATGTGGTTGGTCAAACGTGCATGTCTGGCACGTGTTTGCGTTAAAGTTTGCGACCCACTCAGGGGTGGCGGGGTGGGGTAGGGGGGTAGCACAAGGGCCAACTTAATGTCAGGGTCAATGCAGAGTTGCATGCATGTGCGGCCAATTTGTTGAGTTTCCCCCTGTACAATATATGTATGCACCATATAATATACGGAGATATTGCATAAATCAAAAACAAAAGAAGAAATACAACAAAAGTTTCGGCTTACAATGTGGCCAGCAAGCGGAATTGTTCTGGCTGTTGTGTTGGATGGGACATTGGTCAAGATACAATATTTATTCAAAAGCAATTGACAGGGGCATGGGACAGGGGCAGGGGCAAGGGACAGGAACAGGGCCGCTTCTGTCGGCGACAGCTGCACCACTCTGGGGACACGTCTGACACACACACACACGTGGCAGTCAAATAAATATACATATCTATATGTATGTAAAAGAGAACAGAAGTGACCTTGACTGTGGCACTGGCAATTAGAGTTATTTTAATTTGCATTAGGGGACATCTTTGGCCGGCCAAACGCACTGCACATCAAAATGGGCGTGAATAATGTATGGAAATAGTTTGGGGCATTAGTCATTGTTGTCCCTCCCTTTGGATGCAGATCCCAAATGCTCATTTAAATATTCAAAATATGTAACGTATATGCGTGTTGGCAGAACAGCAAAAAAAAAAGAACGATTAACCCATTATCGACCAGAGTTAAAATACGCACAAGAGTAATGAAACTTGAAGAACTTCAGCGAAGTTCAGGTGAAAGTTAGCATGGTCATTATGTTTTTAAGTAAAGTGGAAGCCTGGACTTGCAAGAAGAATTTACAAATCGTATTATTTTTAGCGACTTAGCCCAAGTTGCTTACCTGTTTAAAAAGAGGGGTATATGTGGGTTAAGTTCGGCAAGTAACAGCTGCGCCGAAATTGTGTATTTTATACGCATAAAAGTTATTAAACTTAAAGAATTTAAGCCAAGTTCAGGTAAAAGAAAGCATGATCATTATGTTTTTAAGTAAAGAGGAGGCATGATCTACAAGAAAAATTTACAAATGGTATTATTTTCAGCGGCTTAGCCCAAGTTGCTTACCTGTTTAAATATAGGGGGTTTGCGTGGGTTAAGTTTGGCAAGTAACAGCTGCGCCGAAATTGTAAACAACCAAATTTGGCAAAATAATTCAAACCATGGCCACGTTTAAGCCGAAATTCCTTAAACCCGACACGGATGATTCCATTACGGATAGCGTGGGCAGCGACCAGCAGTCCTCCGCCTTTGTTTTCAATGCCAATCACAATCTGGGCCTAGTGGAACAGGTAAGCCCGCGATGTTTAAACTATTTCACTGCCAGTTGAAATTAACAAAACTGTTTGATTTTAGCGCGAACGCCTGCCCATACGACAGTACAGAGATCAAATTCTCTACTGTCTGGAGAAGCATCAGGTTGTCATACTGGTGGGCGAAACGGGGAGGTGAGTGAGGTGCAAATGTTCCCCAAAGAAATTCTGTTTATAATTTGTATATTGCCCCGCAGCGGCAAGAGCACCCAGGTGCCGCAGTACCTCTACGAATGGGGCTGGCATTCCAAGGGCCTCATCGGCGTCACAGAGCCCCGGCGCGTTTCAACAGTAATTAAATCTTCTCCCCCGATCTGTAAAGCAAATAATAATCCTGATCTCTGCAGGTAACTCTGGCCAATAGAGTGGCCGAGGAACGCGGCGAGCTGGTAGGCGACACAGTGGGCTATGTGGTGCGTTTCCTGGAGCGTATGACGGCGGAGACCAAAATCAAATTCATGACAGAGGGAATACTGCTGCGCGAGCTCCTGGCCGATCCGCTGCTCACGCAGTATGGCGTCATCATTGTGGACGAGGCACACGAACGGAATATGCTGACGGACATGGTGCTGGGACTGCTGAAGAAGATCCTGCGCAAACGCAGCAGTCTGAAGCTGATCATTTCGTCGGCCACCATTGATGCGGGCTTCTTCAGCGAGTTCTTCAGCTGGCCTGGGGGCGGCGAGGTCAGTGTGAAGCTGAGCATCGAGGGGCGCATGCATGCGGTAAGCAACTTCTACGTGAACGAGCCCTGTGCCGACTACGTCAAAGAAACCGTGGAAACGGTGTGGAAACTGCATCAGAAAGAGCCACCGGGCGATATTCTGGCCTTCCTGACGGGCCAGGAGGAGGTGCTGGAGGCACTGGATCTACTGCGCGAATATATAGCCAGCTCGGAGCAGGAGAATCTTAAAGTGCTGCCCATGTACGGCAGCATGACGAGCAGCGATCAGTTGGCCGTCTTCTTTACCCCACCCAAGGGCGTGCGGAAGGTGGTGCTGGCCACAAATATAGCCGAGACCTCCATCACCATTCCAGGCATTGTCTACGTCATCGACTGCGGCTATGTGAAGGTGAAGTGGTACAATCCGGCCACCTGCAGCGACAGCCTCGTCGTCGTGCCGGTCAGCAAGGCGTCTGCCGTGCAGCGTGCTGGCCGAGCGGGTCGCATGCGTCCCGGCAAGGTGTATCGTCTGTACACGAAACAGGACTACGATGCACTGGCACCGCGACAGCCGCCCGAGATGCGACGCAGCGAAATGAGCGGCGCTGTGCTGCAGCTCAAGGCCTTGGGCATTGGCAACATTCTGCGCTTCGACTTCCCCTCGCCGCCGCCGGCGCAAAATCTGCTCTCAGCCCTGGAGACACTCTACGCGCTGGATGCCATCGATGAGGAGGGACAGCTGACCAAACCTGTGGGCTATCTGCTGGCCGAGCTGCCCTTCAGTGCGATGCTCTCGAAGATGCTGTACATCTCCGGGAAAATGGGCTGCTCCGAGGAGGTCATCACAATTATAGCCATGCTGCAGGTGCAGTCGGTGTTCTCCCGCCCCGTCTCTGCGGTCGCTCAGCAGGGCGGACGCATCGCGCATCGCCATTTCCAGGTGGCAGAGGGGGATCTCATCACGCTGCTCAATGTGTACACCGCCTTCGTGGAGGAGGGCATGACCAAGGAGTTCTGCGGCCAGTACTACCTCATCTATCGCAATCTGAAGCGCGCCCACGAGCTGCGGGAGCAGCTGTTGACGCTGGCGCGCAAGAAGTACGGCATACCGATCTTCTCCTGCAAGGGCGACGTGGAAATGCTGTGCAAATGCATCACCGCCGGCTTCTTCACGCAGGTGGCCTATCTGCACCATTCGGGTGTGTACCGGCAGATCAGCAGCGGCACCGAACTGGCGGTGCATCCCAACTCGACGCTCTATACGCTGCCCCAAGCTCAGTACGTGGTCTACGGGGAGCTGCTGCAGACGACGCGCATCTTCATGAACCATTTGACTGTGATCAAGCGCCAGTGGCTGACGGAGCTGGCGCCGCACTACTACCAGCAGACCACGGTGCGGGACTAAAAGGAGACCACAGACTGCCGATTTCCGCCGATTTACTTAGTTTAATATAACGATTATTGATAAATGACTTAAGCTAAAAGGATTTCCAAAGTGTATCTGATGGCTGGCGTCGCAGGCTAGCCGGCGGCCACACGTCCTCGTCCCTGGAACAGCATCATGGACTCGGGGCCACGGATGACGCGTGACATTAGCTCCCAGCACATTTTTGCGGGCAACAGGCTGCAAGGAAATCATTTGAATTCGTATATAAAAGAGACTGGGGGCCGCACTCACCACTTCAGTGGCGTCAGCAGGCGAATGGAGTTGGGCAGGACGCACCAGACCTCGTTGCAGCGCACGGCCTGCTCGATGCGATCGGCCACGTACTGGGGCTCCAGCATTGGCTGCATGCGTGGCCGGACGCCCGAGAACATGCCCGTATTGATGTAGTACGGACAGATCAGACTCATCTGGATGTGATCGTAGCCATGGGCCTTCAGATCCGTCAGCAGGCTCTCGTGGAAGCCAATGCAGGCGTATTTGGTGGCCGCATAATCGCTGCAGCCGTAGGTGCCCAGCATGCCCGTGACAGAGCCCACCGTCACGATATGGCCGCGATTGTGGCGCATCATGTGCGGCAGGAATGCCTTGACCGTCCAGTAGTGCGAAATGATGTTGATGTTGTACGTATTCTGGATGACGCGGTCGTGCAGCTCCCAGAATGGCTTGCAGCAGACAATTCCCGCATTGTTGATCAATATATCCACCGGTCCCACCTGCTCGATGACTTCGCCGGCGCGCTGATAGACCTGCTCCCTGTCGGATATATCCACCACATAGCCCTTGCAGTTGTTGTAGCCACTCCTGGCCAGCAGATCCACCGTTGTCTTGATGGCTGCGTGGAAAATTACTTAAGTTCAGTGATCAAATTGAACAGGAAAATATAACAGCTTTCACTCGGGGGGGCACCCAAAAGGTGCTTGACCCTCTCTCTCGCTCCCTCGCTCGAGTGCTGACCAAGCAATTAGCAGAATAGTGCGAAGTCTCAGCCTCTCTTGTTGTTACCTTCTTGATTGATATCCCAGATGACAATACGCGCCTGCAGTCGAGCAAAGTTGAGTGCTATGAGACGACCAACGCCGCCTCCACCGCCTGTGATGAGCACCACCTGACCGGAGATGTTCTGTTGCCGATGGACAGATGGGCAGATTGAAAGTGAAATTCAATTAACATGTAATAGACGAGTAATGCCTAAGCCTCAATATATAAGTAGGTTATGTGATTGTATAATAATATAATTAATTGGTGGACACATTTGGGTATGTCTAAGCATTGGAAACAAATTAAACGTTTGAGTAGAAGGAAGGCACTGAGGTAAAGGTGTGTAATGTGTATAATTTGTATAAGTGGACACATTTAAATATGTCTAAGCATTGGAAACAAATTAATTGTTTGAGTAGAAAGAAGGCCCTTAGGTAAAGGTTTGGACTGTACAGAATTTAGCAAGTGATTTATTCCCAGATTTTCTAGGCGCTAATAATGTTTCATTTCTATTAAATAGAAACCTATTCCATTTGCTCAACCTTTAATAGTTTAATTATTCAGTTGGTTAATTGCTCAAATAGTTACCCAACTAAAACTCTTAATTTGAAAAACTCTGTCGCTCTGTCCCTCACTTTCCTTTTGCATACAAACGTAAAGCTACATATCGTATTTAACATAGGAAAAAGGTGCGACTGTGCCATGATATTGCATTTAATGTGATATCAACAATTTGCATACATATACATATGTATGTATATTAAAATGTGTTTTTTTTTTGTTTTTCGTTTTTTTGCGGTCCAACATCTTGCATCATGTTGCCGTTGTTGTATAAAATGTCTGTGGCAAGTTTTTCTTTTGGCTTTTGCCATTTTATGTTGGCCCCCCCCCACCACCACCTGTAGGTTCATTCATTTTGAACGCCGAGTTCAATCCCCTACCTACAGTGTGTGTGTGGCACATCGGTTGTCGTGCATCGCTGGCTGAAGCAAAACTCTTTCAGCGCTGTCTGCTAGGCGGGTCACAACTTTTCCTTTTCCATTTTCTTGCAATTTATATGCATTTTTCTATGCAATTGTTTAGCAGGCAGTCGTGGATTACAGGGGTATATAATGCGAATATTCGTGTGTGCATGTAACATGCGTTTCCGGCCCAGCCCAAACCATGTGTAGATATATTTGGGAGGTCATCACCGAACGAGTTTTTATAGTCATTTTCGTATAGTTTTCTGCATGAATGCTAAGAGAACTAATGGGCTATAATGAAGAATAATACGAAGTTTTTGTGATGATCTTTACCCGTAGAATACATGTAGAAAAGTTTTGATATTCCAAAAAAGTATTCCACACAGAATTTGGATTTAATAAGCTCTTCATCTGTTTTTTTTTTCGGAGTATCAGAGAATTGTTTTGACATTTATTAATTGTTTAATCGAATAATTTATTACCCGGATTGATCTCTGCAGTGGGTGCATGACTGCTTACATTGTAAGGGGTAATCTTATAGTCTTATATGGATTTTATTTGCACTGATTGTGCGTTGAGCATGCAGTCGAAACGTTGAGAAGCTGAAAAATCAGCAAATGACAAAAGGAAAAGGCAATGCACAGCTGGGTAGGCACAATGGGATGCGGAAAAACTCGTTGTCAAATGTTCATTGGACTGCCAAGTCACGAACGACGAACTGCTTCTAGAGCCCCCCCCCCAACCAGAGACTGCTGCAAATATGTTTAACCATGAAAGCCATGAATAGTTGGATGATTGCCCAGCGAAGATCGATCTGCAGTTCAATGTCACTCCCATGGGCTGTGGCTAATTGAAACCAAAGCTCCATAAAACAAAATTCATTTGCGTTGCGTAAATATTTGCACAGTTTTCAGTTGTTTGTTTTGGTAGCCCAGTCAGAGTACTCAATTGGCTATCACAAGTGACGTCCACGGATGCCCAAAATGTAAATAAGTCTCGGAACATGCAGCAGAGGAGGCATTACGTCCATTCATGAGTGGCCAAGTAAGCGTGTGAACAAAATTGCTTTGCCAGCCGTAGCGTGGCCAAACAAAGCGAAAGATTTGTTCGGACAGCAAAAACTTTTTTACGATCGCAAAACCAACAAAAAATATTTACAACAATCGCAAATGAAGTTTGTTAAATCAAACAAATGCTGGTAAATTGGAAAGTTTATAGACAATGCGTTGTCTGTTTGCCAACTGGAATAAACACTCCCTTTGGGGCGGGTTCTATCACGTTCTGAACAGCTTTGAAAATATATTCCCGAAACTAGTTTGTGCCCGGGGGACTTGTTTTCTATGCAGATCAGCTATGCCGCAGAGCATCCAAAATTCGTTTGGATTTTGTATTGTTTTGTTTTTATTACCACCACAGAGCCTCTCGTGTGGCTCATTAAAGTTGGGGGGAAATTATTGCCAAAATACAGACAGGCAAAAATAAATGAAGAGAAACGACTTTGAGGTAGCTCCGCAGATGCCTATGATTGATTTAAAGTGGCCAACTGGAAGCCGTTCCGTTGTTCATTTCATTGTGGGTGGCTGTCTGTCTGTCTGTCTGGTTGTGCAACCAACAGAGCACAGCCCCCCGGGTCATTTGGGGGAATGAAAGTCTATGAAATTAGGTCTAAAAAAAAATATGCACAAGCGACATTTGGGGTTAACTCTCTTGTGGGCCTTACCTTCAACTTTCTAAAACGCAGGGGCAGCAGGGTATAGTAGAGCGATTCCAGTATATAATAAACCGATTTGATGGTGAATATAATCAGGTCGAGGAAAAACTGATAGAGAGCCAGCAGTGGGCGATCCATGTGTAGGAGTCCAGGAGCAGCTGTCATGTTGATGGATGGATGTGTGACCCACAGTTAGTTGAGTGTTTTGCCCCAGGCCTTGGCACTCTCGAAGCACGTGCGAGGGAGGAAGGGAGTATCTTAGTATCTTAGATCGGATTTCGTATGCACTGCGCGTGCGCGGCTCGAATGGTTGATTAGGGGGCTGTGTGGCTGTGGCACACCAGGCAAATGGCATTCGGCATGCACAATTCGATAACTTTTATTGGGCATCAGCTGTGCATATCAATGAACCTCGAACGCGCTCGAACACAAAACAAATGCAAATGCTAAGGAAATTCCAATGAATTTCTCTCTCTATATTCAATTCGCACTTTTAGCTTATGCTCTGGGCCCGATCCGCACTCACGTCCGCTTATGCTGGAGTCACAATACCAACTGAATGCCGTCTGGCAAAAATCTTCAAGCTGCCGCTCGACGCTGTTTCTACCTTGCTGCCATCCACACAATGGCCAAGACCCCGCGTCGAGTCGTGACTGTCGCCGCGATAGAAGAAATGGTCAACAGCAACAGCATTGAGCGCTTTCTTATTTGGCTTTTTCTAGTTTTCTAGTTTTTTTTAACAGCTGAGAGATGTGCTAGGGAAGCTCACTCCTCGGTCAACCAGTTTCTTGGCTCATTTTATTGTCTTGAGCCAAAGATATTTTGATATTTTGTGCTGGCTTATGCTGATTCCGCTTTTATTTTTGTTTGTGGGTTGGAAATGTTTGCGATGGTCAGTGACATAATACCACTATAAGATAAAATGTGATACAATTTGTTCATGTCATTTATAATGTAATTAATATTAAATTATTTTATAATAAAAAAATTATATAAAATCTTTGTTGAGTATTTTTTGCTTTGTTTTATAACTAATCTAATTCACAAGCCGAGGAAAGTGAAAAATAAATAGAAAATAGTTCGCGCAACAATTTATTTAATTTGTTACAAAAATGTTTAGATAAAATTACGATGCTGTGGTGTACTTTATGGACATTAGCAACTTATAGATCACTGTATTGCATAGACTAGCAGCTCTCCTACTCATTATTAGTTGAATTAAGAAGATAATAGTTAACCAATTAAATAAATAAATGCCAATTGGAACACAGTGCCAATTGTCAACTCTACATGAATTTCAGTTGCATTCTGCTACATGTAGCAGCATATTCATGTCATGTAGTTTTTCCGGTAGAAGTCTTTTGTTTTAATACAGGCCAAGGGGAAACCGCAGGCTTCTTCCTTCTGCTTCTATTCCCCCGCGAGCCGACAGACAGTCGCATGTCCACAGACTCGACAGCGGTTCTATTCCCACTGTGGACAAGCACTAACAATTTTATTTCAGCATTTAATTTTGTATTTTTTTTTCACTTAAAATCTTTTTTCGAATTTAACATAATTTCAATTATTTTTCTAATTTTTTACAACAACTTTTCAAAGTTTCAGGCACCTAAAATGTACTTTAGGTTAAAGAAGAAAGGAAACGCCTGTTCCATAGTAGGCAAATGTTTTCTCGCCAAGCTAGTTGGCCAGAGTATCTGAAAGACGGAGTTCCTGCTGTTGCTATCCTGCGCTGTCTGCGTCCTGAGGAAGCTGCCATCCCTGGAGAGGTCCTGCAGTTGGTCTATCAATGGACGCAGCTGTTGTTCGTTCTCCTTCAGCTCATTGCTTTCATGTGGAAAAGTTAAGAGACGAGGGTTAGATGGGGAATATATATTGATATGGGGAATGCAGTGAAATCTCTGTGGGGTTATCCAACAAAAGTACAAGCCAGCAGAGATTTCATGGCAACTAAGGATATATATTAACATTACTCGTTCCATTCCCGAATTCCCTCCTTCATTAAACTTAATTCTTTCTCCATGATTGCAATCATTTCAGACTTATGCTGCAGTTCCTTGTTTATTCGTTCCTCCCTTAATTGGCTGCCCCTGTGCAAGCTTCTGAGCATCCTAACCTCGTTGATGAGATCCGTGTTTTGTAGCCTGAGTTGAACCACGACCAGCTCCTTCTGGGTTAGTAGATTTCGGACTGTCCGCTGCTCCACCTGTGCGGCGCAAAGCTCTGCTTTTCGCTGGTCTACCACAGCTTGTAGTTCCTCATTCTGTCAGATGAATATGCAGTAAGAATGGATTATGTAAGTTCTATAGAGGATCCTACCTCTCTTTTACGAAAGTCCAATTCACGCAGCAGCTGCTCCTTGTCTGCGATCAGGCTGAACTTGAAGGAGTGCGTCTGTATAGTGTTCATCTTGTCCTTCATCAACAGCACGTAGAGTTCATTGTTGCGTTCCTCGGCTACCTCAATCATTACTCTGTACATGTGCACTTTATTCGTGCTCTCCATAGCCTGCGATTTGTGGCTGCATAATGTGGGTGGGGCAGCTGGAACATCAATGGTTAACTCACTTTGCGTTTGTAATATTCCTTCGTCTTCAGGAGCTGGCAGATGACGTCGCCACGTTTGCGACAGGCGCGCATCACGACCTCCATTGCCATTTTTTGGGAAGTATCCACGAGCCAATGGGATTCGTGTGACTGTGATTCGTGTGACTGTGATTCTTCCGTATCTAAAATACGTTTCATATTGATTCTGAGGAACAAAGCAACTTATTTAGCCATTTAAAATGAACATTATATTACCTTTGGGTAAGAAACTCCTGCAGAGATGACTCCACAAAGGGAACTATCTATGCCAGAAAGAATATGTTATGGGATAGCCCTGTTTGGGGAATTATTCCGTTTGATGTAGCATAAAACTGAAAGACTACTTTATGAATATTATACGATATAACTAATATAATAGCTACGCTTAAACAACGCCTGCCAAGAGAAATATCCCAACAATTATTCCATAAACCACCAGAGAGCGCATGTCCGCAGATAGTACAAAGGTTCCATTCCCACCTTGGACAAGCAACAAATTTATTTAATTCAAAATAAAATAATCTCTTTTTTCTTCTAAATAAATCTTTTTCTGAATTTTTTAATAATTTAAACTATTTTTTGTAAATATTGCAACATTTTGTTAGCGATTTTAAGTGCATTTTGACTTTCCCACTGCAGTGTACACTGGCAAAGAAAATCCACCCCGTTGCAGCGCCTTGTTGGCTTGCAATTCCCAAGTGCTTATTCCCGTGATGCACAGTATATATACGAGATGCAATGCCTTGTAGTTTGGAAGTGTTGTGTTTTCTGTGCATCGAGCATCGATCGATATATAGATATATCAGATCTGCTTCAGTGCCGCCGACCCTCCGTCACACCTTTGTTTCCCAGTAATTCTGCCTGGCATTGCTGTGGCAACATTGTTCTGGATTGGCTTTCCCGCTGCCTTTGCTAGCCGAGTGCGTCGTCTAGCAACAGACGCACGGTCATGCGCTGGTCTTCCACCACCCACTCCGCCTCGCGGACTCCAGTCATCTCCACGACTGGAGCACGCATAGGTCGGGGCCGGGCGGTGGTGCCAGTGCCGAAGCCAACAACAGTTGCCCACGTCAGCCATTTTCAAAATTTCTTGGTTAAGTAACTTTGTAGCTTAGCTTCGGATTTTCGTAATATATTTGCTGTTCAGAACACTTCCATGTACGCGGCATTGCCGAGCAATTTGCCCATTCTTTTGCTGTCTCAAATTTTCTTCACTCTACTATATATATTTTTTAGTTTAATAAAGGTAATGAAATATATTAACGCATTTTCCTCCACGAACTTCTTGCTTCTGCTGCATCAATGGGCGCTTTTAACTAGGGGGGAAGACAGTGAAATATATAATAAGATATAGTGATACATATTACCTGTTCCATCCCCGCGCTCTATCCTGCAGATAGCTTAATTCCTCTTGCAGTGTGTTCATCCTCTCCGTAACTCCCTCCAAATCCTTAGTCAAGTATTGCTCAGTGGTTTTATGGTCCAGCTGCAGCTTGCGGAGCGTAGCGACTTCAGTGTCGAGATCCGCGTTCTTTCTTCTCAGCTGGCTGATGGTCTCCTCCTCCTGCGACAGTCGATTTTGGTCCAAACACTGCTGCGTCTTGGCGGCACAGAGCTCTATTTTACGCTGGTCTGCCACTGCTTGTAGTTCGTCATGCTGTCACATAAAAGCAGTAAGAATGGATTACGTTATAGAGGTAGGCTCTTACCTCTCTCTTACGGCTCTCCACTTCGTGCTGCAGCTTTTCCTTGTCTGCCGTCAAACTGTGGATGGAGGATTGAATCTCGTTGGTGCTCAGCTTGGACATCATCAGTTCCAGATGCAGATCGCCGTTCCGTTCGTGCTCCACCTGCATCAGGGCTTTACACACGCGCCCAGTGCTCTTGTTCTGTACATGCTGGGATTCGAAGGGTGCCATGATTTGGGGGAAAATGGTATTCAACCATTTGGCCAACTCACTTGGTTCTTGAAATGTTCAGCCTCCTTCTCCAAGTGGCGCATATCTTCCCCTCGCCTGCGCCAGGAGCGCAGCATAGCCGTGCCAAGGGCCCTCAAGCTGTCCGCTCTTCTCCGGTACGGGGTGAGGACCCACTCCGATTTCTCTGACTGCAGCATTGCACTTGAACAGACATCGAGTGTCGGCATGTCGTCGGATTCTTCTGGCCTGCGCTCGTCCATCATGTTTCCTCTGGGAAAACTTTTGCTTTGTTTTCTCTGGGGCAAGTCCAGTTTGTTTTTGTGGGATTTGAACGTATATTCCAATGATAACTGTGCTTCGATGAAATCTCTCCCATCAATAAATCCTTTTGGCCTGGTGTACCATGGTAAGGTATTTCACAACGAATACCCGGAATTGGCCAAGGTCACTGGGGGTTAACTGGAGACTTGCACGCACACGGGGAGCAGCACGATGTGTTCTCAAGGCTTTCGCCCCAATCTGATTACTTTTGGTGGCGCTGTACAGACTGTGTAAGTCCCTACACAGCAGGGGATTCCCCCTCTATTGGTGGACAGCTATGGAACGTTATAAGAAATAAATTCTATGTCAAATAATACATAAATTGGCGCGTAGTTACATGGTTCATTAACGTTTCTAGGAACCTGTTGGCAGTACAAAATTTATAATAATAATTTCCAGAGAATTTTCCGATTTTACAGTTTCTGGGCAACGTTAAAACGCAATTTGCAGTCGTTATTAACCCACTTCCATTCGTTTAGTCGCTGTGGAAATCTGAGACGTTCTGGCAGCAAAAGCTTTGCCCAAGGTCCTTCAAGCAGAGGCGTGCACCAGAGACCCTGCCCTTAAGGGGGCTGGTAACATTTCCTGCGCACTAATTAATAACTCCTTAGCCCTCATCCATCATTTGGATCGGCGCTACTGCTGTATCACCTTCACCATGAACGGCCGCGGCCCCACAACATTGTAGGGTTCTTACCCTGCCGCTGGACAAGGACAAGGACACGTGTCGCAGGAAGTTCAAAGAGTTTAAATCGGCGAAGCAGGACATGAGGCAGGTGCAGGACTACCACGACTACTACGACAACCCGAAAAATCAATAGTGTCATATACCTAGGGTACAAGTGTACATAGCAGCGTACTCCAGCCCTACCCCCCTGCATTGGCCCTGCTCGTCAAGCACGTGTCAGCTTAAATACTGGATGGGCAGGTGAGTCAGGGTGTCCCATTCCCCACCACCAGAAATGGCAAGCTAGGACTGGATAAATATCGCGTGATTTTCATGGAAAACCCTCTGCAATTGGCTGTTGGACTCTGCAGAGTGGGGCTCGACCGTTGTTTGATCGATGTCTGGACTCCATTAGCATGGAGCAATGGGGGTAATTTTTGTTGTTGTTGTTGTTATTGTTTTGAGGACTGCCCGATTCGTGCTATCAGGACATCGCCGGTTGGCTAAGGTTCCAGTATCCATCGCCATCTGGTGGCATTTATTGTGGAATTTCAATACTAGCATTTGACATAATTTCTATTTACTTGGCTTAGGTCATAGCCCACACATGTGAATTCAGTAGTTACTTTATGTGGGAAATTTCGGCAATTTTCAGACTGTTGCATGGACCTTCGTGTCGGATTTTGGAGCTCAGTTTGTTGATAAGGTTATCCGATTAAATGGGCATGGGATTGGAATAAATTTTGTGCTTGAATCTCATCGCAAGGCTTAGTAAGTGGGGGATTCCAGCTTAAATGTTGATCAAAGAAAATGCGCAGGTATACGATAAATTTTTAAAAAACAATCCTAGAGTAGAGGAAAGTCATGGAAATAAATTGGAACAACGGAAACGAGTCCACTCAAATATCATATCAACTCGTGGCAGCTTTTATTTTATGTTTGTGTCAAGTACATCACAAATTCTGTGAAATTCCCAGCCATAATTTGCATTATCTTGAGAACGCGCCAAAAACTATCTTATCGCGATGCCTTACCCACTAATGTTCCATTTTAAATCAATATATTTTCACTATCGAATGGCCACTAATCAGCTCTACTTATAATATTTACGCTGGTTCGCAGTGTGGCAACTTATCAAATTTCATGGAAATTGGGATCCCGAATGCCAGAGTTCGTCCGGAAAGTGAAAGCTGCTCCCGGCTAGAGCAGTCGCATGCTGAACACGGACCAAGTGAGTCACTTTGGGGGCTCGATGGGCGCTGAGCTGAAATTTATGCCACAACAAATGCCGGCGCAGGATAATTTATCCTTTTTCCAGGAATCCGACGCTGAATCAGGCCTCTACCAATGGGTGGCTCGGGTATGGGACGCAGCTACTCTGCCTACAGAGAGACACAAAGACGCGCGGCGGCGTGCCTGCATTTTCATTCATAAAAGCAAGAAAAGCTTTGTGCGCGAGGATGAGTCACAGGCTGTGCTACACTGGGAAAAAGTACAAGTGAGTCGAGTCGAGTAGTGTTGCCAGGCTGCTGCGGTCAAAAACGGTTGCCTGCTGCCCCCACAAAGGCCGTTGATTGTTTTGCTTTTGCATTCATCTACGTGACTCAGCACAGCTGCTTAAGATATTTTTTTTCGTGACGCCACACTCTCTCACTATCACTCTCGCTCTCTTGAGACAGCTTATAAGTTTGATCTTTGTATTTGTTTTTGCTTTGACAACAACTTCAAACAAGCTCCCAGAGCTTTGAGAGTTTTGCGGTATTTTTGGTATGGTATCGTATTCGTATCTGTCTACGGTATTGAAAGTTTTGTTTTCTTCACCGCCGGGAGAGTCTTCAATTCGCTGGCGTCGTGATCGGTTGTGCGTGTTGTGGATCAGTCAAGTAACTCTGTGCTCGGTTTTTGTGTCTTCTTTCGTTTCGATACAGCGAACGCTTTTTGCATCGCGCATGCTTAAAGCTCTCTCTCTCTCTCTCTTTCTTGCGACAGTTAAAATACCAGAAAAAAAAACCTGTGCCCAGAGTGTGTTGAACAAAGTTTGTAGATAAAAATAAAATGAAAAGTACTGACAAAAACAAAAACAAAAAGATGCATGAAATGTATAATTGAGTTGAAGCGAAGCAAGTTTCACTTGCTGGCAAAAGCAACGAACGAACAACCAACCAACCACCGACTCTACTCGACTCGACTCTCTGCACTCGTATCGTACATGACAAAAAAAAAACTGGCAAAAGCCTTTTTAACGGCACACGTATTGATAATTTCGATTAAAATTGAACGTTTTACCGATTAGATTACACGACGCACATCGACAATTTGTCGTCGTTGTTTGTCCCTCCCATGGGTACATATTACCATAATAAAACAAAGCTAAAGAGACACAGAGAGAGAGAGAGAAACATAGACGGCACATATGTATGGAGAGCAACAAATTAAGAAAATTAAGTCCGCCGCCACTGTTTTAAAAACAAAAACAAAGCTGATGATGATCGCATAAGCATAAAGCCCGGAATTCCCTAGAAGAAAAAGACGTCATTATAAAATCGCGCCAGAAGAGCGGAGCGTTTCGATCTCTCTCTCTCTGTCTGTTTTTGGCTCGCTTTCGTCTTGGCTTTTGCTGTAGTTTCTGTTCTCTCTCTCTTTCTCTCTTGATATTTCTTTTGATATTATCGCACTCTGTTCTCGTGCTCGTTTTTCGCGCAAAAAAATATAAAAAAAGAAGAAAAAAAAGATTATTTATCTATATAAATAATATGCAAACCGGTTTCTGTAATAGTTGCTGTGACTGTGCCGTGTGTTCGTGTGTGTGTGTGTGTGGTGTATTTCTGTGTATTAACATTAAAAGGAATTTTTGTTAACCATAAATAAATGGCTTATTTAGCATTTAACTAATTTACATAACGGCACTCATGAAGGCAACGGAGAAAAATAAATATAAAGCAAAATAAATAAATAAGTGTATACAATACAGAGTACAACAAGTGTATTAAATAGTTCGTGTTCATTTTCAGGTGCTACTCATCTGTAAGCCAATCAAGTGATCAATGCCTATTAAACGTTGTCAGATCACTCCTTGATTAAGGTGAGTCCCCCTGCCCAGCCAAGTCTGAAGATTAGACAGCTTGCTCTGGGAAATCCTAATGATTATTCAGATTGCATATTAAGATGTTTCTTGGTACAGAATTAAGTAATAGCCGTCTATTTACATTTATCAGCTTGAATCGTTGCTTACACTTTTTTTTTTAATAGTAAAAACTTTTCAAACAATATTTATTTAAACCTTGTGATCCCACTAATCGAGATAGAAATTGTGTATAAGTCGCTTAACAAATTTGTGTGCCTAAATGTTCAAAAATGATCAACAAATTCGGAAAAAAGAGTCTGAATTGTAGTTTCCTTTTCCCATAATTTAATGATGGAATTGTTGTGGGTTTTTATCCATATGAAGTCTTGAACTTATCACTACATTAATAGGTAAACAAATAACGTTTCCAGAGAGTATTCACTGTATTGTTTAATAGCTTCCAATGTGTATCGTAACAAAAACAGCTGCTTCTAAATTGTTATGTGTTTTCTGTTCTCCTCTAAGCGAACAGAACAGAACAGAGCCTAACCTAACATGGCATAACAATCTACAGTCCCCAATATCCATTACGTACACCGCAAATTCCATCGCATTCCTTTGGAGCTCAGCTGGCACTATAAAATTAGCTAGTGGTACGAATTTTAGCATAGAAATTCCCCAAAATATTTGTTCTCCCAAAATTCCTTTTGCAGTGTAACTCCAAGCTTTCGGGGTTGCCCTTTCTTTCAATTGTGCGCTCTCTCCCTCTGCACCACTACAACAACTGCACCCCCTTCTGCGCATTAAATATTCTACCGTTAATACAAACGATAAACCGAAACAATAACCAAAACACCTGTGTACATTGGCAGCGCAGTCGCTGTACCGCTTCCACCTGTCTCTGCGCTCTGTCAGCGTCTGTCACAAACGAAAGTTTCTTAACAGCACGTGCATATGTGTGTGTGTGTATGGGGGGAAAAGCTTTCTGTCAATTCGCTTTCAGCACAGTTCAGTTCGGTTCGCCTTTTCCTCCTCTTCTCTTCTCTCCTCTCCTTCCACACTCTACGCTGCTTCGCGCCTCTCTTTCTGCCTTACACTTGCATTTGTTTTTCCGGCAAGTCCAAAAGCAGAACAGAACAGAACAGAACCGAGAGGTTTTTCAATTGTTTCATTCTAAGATCGACTCGATGCGCTTGCGGTTGTGCTGACGGATGAAGGCTGACGGTTAACGGCTAACGGTATTGTTTTCTTTTCGTTACGTTTCGTTGTAATTTCTCGATAAAAAAGAATAAACCCAATTAAAACAATTTAATTAATAATATTTCTTATAAAAACTGGGAATCCAAAAACCGCAATAAAACTTTTTGTCGTGTGTGTGTGTGGACAGCAAAAAAATAATCTTTCGTCATGTGTTAACTGGTGGCTGGTCCTTGGCTTAATTTACAGGTAATTATGGAGAGGCTTTTAGCTAATTCGAAGTAATTTTAAAAACTGCAAATGGAAACCGGCTGCTGCTGCTGCTGCTGGCTGACTCATATCCAAAGTGCTGAAATCGAGTGAAAAACATCAGAGAAAAGTACAGCGTTGTTTCTTTTTTTAGCAAAGTCATCTACGATATTCAAAGCTCGAGTATACGTAGATTTGTGTGCGCTTACAGATCTAAGGCCAAGTCAATAGATGATGCTGCCCATTCTCCTCATGGGTATATTCCCCATATGCTAATCCCCCCAATGATTGATACAGTCTGGCGGCGGTGGGTAAGGCCCCACTTTCTGCAAATTATCAATCACTAGGAATTCTATTTCTACAAGTGTGGGAGTACGTACATTTATTGTGTGTTGTGGATGGAAGAGTGAAATATAATTTTCAACCATATCATTATCCAAGTGTGAACATTATAATTGCGAAGTGATGGCTACATTATATAGAATTTTTATAAGGTCTTGAAGTCTCGTATTTCAATGCAAAATAGTTGTATTCACCCATCGATGCCCTGTACGGAAGCCACTAAGAACGAACCATTTGAAATTAATATGTTAGAACTTTTTAAATAATATTTTCTATGCTCTAATATTTAAATTCCCCATTAAAATATTCCACAAGTTGTCAGTCTCTACTTCCTATATGGCAAAAAAGTTGTAAGTCCCCCAACTAAAGAATCCTCTTCTTAATGCTAAATTCGGAACTAGTTCCATCGATTTGTCAGCAGAACAGTTATTTATTTTTATTTGAGCTGTAAATTGCTTGACGCCAACGATCGTTAAATGTCTGTCTGGAAGATTGGGTAACTCGTTTTCAGGGGCGGCCCAACAGTTGAGGAATTTTTGGCTGCTGCTGCTGCTGATTCTACTTTGATGTCGATGTTGATCTTAATCTTAATTTGTAGTGCTGGCGCCAGAAGAACCTTTTCTATTATTTTTTTTTTTGCTTTTTTGTGGGGTATTAAAATTGCATAAAATTAGCATGTTAAATGATCGAAACGAAATGTTTTTATTTTATTTTGTTTTTATTTACTTTTCTACATTTTGGCAAAAAACAAAAAAAAAGAGTGTCCGGCTCTGACCGGTGGAGGGAAACGTTTTTTTATTAATCAATTTTATGGTTTGCGAAATCCATACGCTTTTTTTTTCTAGCAACAATTTATCAGGTGGAATTCGTGCTGGAGATGATAGCGTGAGTGCTATGGTTAATTGTGATGAAGCTGATGGAGGGAGCCTTCAACAATCCATTAAATATACATCACGCTATCATCGCTACCATGGGGCTGGATATTCTATTTATACATATATTCGCAATCTAACGTCTGTTATCATTGAGCAGTGTTTTTCGGTATTTATACGCTCTCCACCATGTGCATTATCTGTCGGAGCGATACGCTTTGTTGGCCATATCTGATGATGGGTCTAAACGGTAGCGCATTTGCCTTTGCTTACCTGCTAACGGGCATAATAATCTCTATATGGTTTCGATCATAAATTGTCTATGGAATTGATATTACAAATATATTTGCTCAATGTAATTGTGCCCACAGCAACAGTCAAGGGCGGATCTATAAATCGATTTTAAATTTTCCCAGAAGTCCTCGAAGGTAACTGACCTATTCCTGTTGTGCATTTTCCCGTGGGAAAGAGTCACGCATTTGGTGAATGATTTTCGCCCACACGAGCGAGTGGCACACGAGCGAATTCCTGGCATTTTTTTCAATATCACATTCGAGTATATAACCCATTTAGAATTGTTTTCTGACTCATTTCTGTTTCTTGGAAAGCCTCGAAATATTTTGTTTATTTTAAATCTGCACAGTACATTTTGGCATACGTAGAACCCCCCACCCCCTATAGGATGTATGGATTTGCTGTTTCCCATTTCCCCAGCATAAATCTAATTATTAAATACATTCGAGATCAGTCAGAGAGCTTTCAAGAAACTGGCGCCAAACGTTGACAAGTGCCTTTCGTTTTTTTCTCTCTCTTTTTTCTTGGCTATTGAAACGGAAATGCCAATATACCTTAGAGCCAAGCCATATGCCTATTGCATACGATATATACAAAAGGTATATGCAGATGTGCTAGGATGTACTTGAATAATTTGTTTATAGTAAATACAGAAAAAAAAAACAAACAGTGCACGCCCCACTGATGCATTTTATGGTAATTTTCCGATACCTTTGCATCTTTTGCTTAGATTAGACGCATTTGTGCAATTTCCTTTTAACGAAATGTGACTCAGCTTTGATGGGTTGTTAGATATATATATATATATATATACATATATGTAGATATAGGGAGCACTGTATTTATTAGGGGTTTGATTTATCCTTAGCTTGCGGTTACAATTAAATCTGCTGTGATCATTGCTTTGGGGTCACCATTTGTTGTATTTGATGCGTTTGTTTCGGTCACCAAAAGCGGTTCCAGTTCATTCTTTTTTTTTTTAAAATACCTATGCATAAAAGCGTGCGATGAATCATTTATATTTTGTATATTTCATTTACTTAATTTTATATGATTGTGGTCGGCAAATATTCTGTTTTATACTCTCCATAAACGCGCTGTGGCCTTAGGTTGTAAAATTTTTTTTTTTTTTGGATTGATAATGTTTGCTTTGACATTCAATCAGAATCAGAAACAAGTCAGCCATTTACTGCCTTCAATCGCTTCAATCGCTGTGTATCCATAAAACACGTGTACGATCGATGTGTCTATTGATTGAACTGTTTGCACAATTGCCAGCTAAAGTTTATTGACATCGGCAATTAAGTTTTCATTTAATTTTCCTTACGTTGTATCTGCGCATATATTTCCCTGACCAAAAAATAAAAATTGGGACAACTGCGCCCGAGACGAGTATGAAAATGAAAATTCCTTGAAAGCAGCAGCAATAAATATATGACACAAAACACAAGCAAGATACTCGGACTCTCGGGTACAACAAAATATTCACATCCATCGTATATAAAATTTTTAACAAATTAAGCAAAATAAAAATAGCAGAAAGCTTCTTCTCTGCGACGACAACGACAACGAAGACGACAAAACTTTTGCTGGTCAGAGGCGTGCATAAAGAATTCTGTGTGTTTGGTTTTTTTGTTTTTTCACCAAAAACATTTTGCTCGGTTCAGTGTTCAGACATTAGGCGAGTACTCAAGACGCGTTTGCTCTCTGTGTGTGTTTATTTTTCGGTCAACTAAAGCAATATTTCTCCCTATAGAATATATATAAAAAAAAAAAAAAAATACAGAATATAGATACAGACTCTGTACAACAAAAAAAACTTAAACTCTGTGTGTGCGGGTTTTTAAAGGAAAGAACGAACAAGTGACATAATGCTATAATTATAAATTATAAATCAGTTAAAGCCACAAGATATTATAATCTATAAAAATCCGAATTGTAAAAGGTATTGTTTGGTGTTTTTGTAACCCTTTTGGCGAGCAACGTTTGGCCGTGATAAGTGAAAGGTGATTGATTGATTTTACTATATAGTTAAATGATCTTCAAAATGATCATATATGCATATAGTATTCGTATTTTAACAAGATCTTATTTATATGTATATTACATTTGTTGGCTACCAGCCAATTGGCTTTTCAATCCGCTTTTCAAAATGCAAAATAGTTTCGTGACGTAATCTTTGCTTTAATCTTTTGTGCAACACGCGAAAATTTGAATCTAATTTATTCTTTTCGCGACCATTGAATCTACATAAAATATATATGTATTATACATATATTGTTGAAAGCATTATAGAGAGCACGTGTTGGCTTTTTTTGTTTCAAAGGTTTCCAATGTGATTTTCCCCATGTATTTTATGTAGCAATAGTGTCCTTTGTGGGACAGTTTCTTTGGGCATGATTTATGTATATTCCCAAATGCTCTAATTGACGCACAAAAAGCATTTGACAGCTGTGAAAAATATGATCGGAAAATTGAATTCTTTTAGGGGAAAACACATGTATTTTTTAGATATAGCAAATAAATAAAAAAATAAAAAATAAAATAGCAACATTCATACGCATGTTTGTACATCAATTCGATAGGCTGAACAAATGCTGAACCAAATAATAGATAGTTCCCGCTAGCTACAGGAATTTGCAGGAGAGTAAACAAATATTTAGATACCTTTTAAATATTGGATACATGCCGCTCGTCATGCGTCAGCGCTACTTGGAACCTTCTGCCGGGGATCCACAAGTAACAAGCTTCGGCTTGGTGTTTATTGGGCCGATTGATGGTGCAGCCAATGCACCTCAATGTCCCAGTATTTATGGAAATATTAAGTCAAATAAATAAAATAATAAAATAAAAATAATAAATAAAATAAATAAATAAAATATAATGCATGCAGTAAAATGCATGTTTCTGGGTAGATGTCAAAGGTTTAGGCTCCTAGAATTCTTAATGATGTATGTGTGTATACATATGTATGTACATATATACCAAACATTCTGTATAAAGATAACTTCCAAGAAATGAAAAATGAGTCACTTTTTAATATAATATCTAGTATATAATATCTATCTACTTAAGGACAGTTTTTTCTGATGTTTCGTTGTCTGCATTAGGCGCTGTACTCTGAATGCGTGAATGTATTCATCCAAAGTTCAGTCACCTCAAAACAAAACAAAACAAAAGAGCAAATAAAGTGCTGATTAATTAACAGACTCAGTGGCAGTTACAGTCAGAAATTATTATTATATCAGTTCACTTTTCCTGCATAAATCATATTTAAATTCTTTAGTTAAAAACCGAAGCGATTGTTCAGCTTATAAATATATAATACAAATCAATAAATTTATGAGCAATGCATTTAATAAAAATGAAATCCCTGGAAAAAGTTTGCAAGCAATGCATAATCCATAGAATTCCATTTAATTTGAATCCCTCAGTAAACGATAATGGGAGATAAAAGCTACAAAGATACTGCCGCTAGACAACTTACAGGTGTAATGCATATGGTACATATGTAAATAAAGTAAATGAGAAATTGGCACACGTTTTGTTCAGTAGTTTTTTCCACATATATTTCTACCCCATGGCCCGCAGATTTGGTTCGAACGGGATCGGTTCAGATCAGATCAGACCAATGCACGGACAAATGTTGAACGGGGGGGCATTAGTTTTTTTTGGTCAGCCATTGACGTCTGCTAGCGATGGCAGACCAATGTCTAGACATGAACAGCGCAGCAGAGAGAAAGAGCGAAAACTCTGAGGTCATAGCCAGCTACTTTGTCCGCGTACATAGTATATACCCACTATGTATATATTATATATTAGCTGTATATCGGAATGATCACAAGAAGCAGCGTTGACAATCCCAAGCCAACCCAGCCCATCATTGATAAAATTTGTTTGTTTGGAACAAACTCTCTTGCCAAAAAGAAAAGCTCCCAGCTTCGAGGAGGCCAATCTGCAAGACGATCTATATATTACTATATATATATATGTATACCTGCCTGATATATAGAGTAAAAGCATATTCATTGCGTACCTCTCGCTCTCTCTCTCTCTCTCTCCCTGAATTGTGTCGCTTTGTGGCCGCAGTCGCTTTACGCGTTACGCAAAATGTTATTTTTAAATAGCGCGCCCGGAGCGGCCTAGCCGGACCAGACCGGACCCCGTGCCCGGCCAAAAAGGAAAACACACACACGTGTATATGTATGTACATGTACCTGCCATGTATCCCATGCCACCACTGCAGTCTGCAGCAAAACTCGAACGTTCAAATACACAACAAATAATACACTTAATGACCCCTAAATAGTGCAATTAATATTGCCGGAATATTGTACACAAACGCCCACACACCACATCTGTAGCTGTATCTTTTTTGGGCTGTCTATCTCACGGCCAGAGATTTCCTTCAGATATTCAGTTCCATGCCAGACGCTTTGGGCTGCGGTTCGTCATAGTTGGTGGTCATATCTAGGTATAGCAATAGCTACCTACGAGCATATAGTATTCCTATAGCTCTATATATATGTAACTGCATGGTGAATCAAATTGAAGCAGTGATTATTTTTGGTTAATATCGTCATCGTCTGGTTTGGCGTCTGGCAGACACCAAATAATTATTTGAAAGCAGCAAAAAGGTCTGTCTGCAAAATGAAATTAGCACAAAATTTACAACAAATCTGTGAATATTATTTCTGATATTGTAATGAGCTCATATATATATTATATTATATTATTATATATTAATTTAAGCAGCGCAAATGAAAAACAGAAAAAATCCTTAATTAGATTTTTCAACAGATACAAAAGATCGATAAATTTAAATTAAATTAAAAATTAAATTAAATTAAATTAAAAATTAAATTAAATTAAAAATTAAATTAAATTAAAAATTAAATTAAATTAAATTAAATAATAAAATTAAATTAAAATAAAAATTAAATTAAAAATTTGTTTATTTAAATTAATAAAAAAAAAAATCGCTTAAGCATTGGCTAATTTTTTAAACTTTAATCTCTGCCTCCTCTTGCCATTCCAGTTAATATTTTGGCCACGAAATGTTTCCCAACCAGAACAATGTTGCCGCTGCCGGCCCCGGTGGTCCGGCGGTCGATGGCCAACAGAGTCTCAACTACAATGGGCTGCCGCAGCAGCAGCACAACAGCAGCAGCAGCAGCAACAATTGTCACAGACCACGAAGAACGTGCGCAAGAAACCGTACGTGAAGATCACGGAACAGCCAGCAGGCAAGGCGCTGAGATTCCGGTACGAGTGCGAGGGCCGCTCCGCAGGCTCCATACCCGGCGTGAACTCCACGCCGGAGAACAAGACGTACCCAACCATCGAGATTGTGGGCTACAAGGGCCGTGCCGTGGTGGTCGTCTCCTGCGTGACCAAGGACACACCCTATCGGTGAGTGATCGCAGGGAATGCCGATTGATTGATCTATTTATGCTAAGGTTTTCCTGCCCTTTTTTTTGACAGTCCCCATCCACACAATCTGGTGGGCAAGGAGGGCTGCAAGAAGGGCGTCTGCACGCTGGAGATCAACAGCGAAACCATGCGGGCCGTGTTCAGCAATTTGGGCATTCAGTGTGTCAAGAAGAAGGACATTGAGGCGGCCCTCAAGGCACGCGAGGAGATACGCGTCGATCCCTTCAAGAGTAAGTGGAGATACATACATATTTGGCTGCCATAATATTTCTCTCTCTAATATTTCTCTGCTCTTGTGCAGCGGGTTTCTCGCATCGTTTCCAGCCCTCGAGCATCGACCTGAACTCGGTGCGATTGTGTTTTCAAGTATTCATGGAGAGCGAACAGAAGGGCCGCTTCACCTCGCCGCTGCCGCCGGTTGTGTCCGAGCCGATCTTCGACAAGAAGGCCATGTCCGATCTGGTGATCTGTCGGCTGTGCAGCTGCTCGGCCACGGTGCTGGGCAACACCCAGATCATCCTGCTCTGCGAGAAGGTGGCCAAGGAGGACATTTCGGTGCGCTTCTTCGAGGAGAAGAACGGCCAGAGTGTGTGGGAGGCGTTCGGTGATTTTCAGCACACGGATGTGCACAAGCAGACTGCCATTACCTTTAAGACGCCCCGTTATCACACGCTGGACATCACAGAACCAGCCAAGGTGGGTCCTTCCTTGCTGTCCTCTTCCTCCCCAACTAAACTAAACTGAACTAAACTTCGTCTGTCCCCTAGGTCTTCATTCAGCTGCGTCGCCCGTCGGACGGAGTCACCAGCGAGTCGCTGCCCTTCGAGTACGTGCCATTGGATTCAGGTAAACACACGTTCTGGAACCTTCACCGGCACCTCAAGCGGAAGCCGGACGAAGATCTCTTTCAGCAGATTCTCACGTTGGATGCCAAGCGGGAGGCGCCCACGATCGAGGTCATTGATTTGGATACGCCCAAATTGGAGTTGCAGTCGCCTCTAGAGGCGGTTGTGGCTGTTCCACAAGAGATTGTCGTTGAGGAGGTTGAGCCCGCTGCTGTGGCAGATCAACCGGTAGATCAAACTCCACAGGATATGGAGGCAGCGGATGCCGAGGCCGAAGCCGAAGCTGAGCCGAGGCTGAACGTCTGCGCTCGGAGCAGGAGAAGGAAATCGATACGATCATTGACGAGAAGGTGCGCGAGCTGGAGCAACTGGAGCTGGGCCAGCGGCTCGAGCCGCGGCCTCTGACGGCCAACGACAAGATCACCGAATGGATGAAGTCCAGCGAAATCGAACAGCAGCCCCACGAGCCGAGTCCCACACAGGTGGAGGGTGATGTTGATGCTGATGTCCTGGACTCGGCCATCGAGGCGCAGCTGCGGGCCACGGACGAGGACAAGACACTCAACGAGCTGCTCGAGCAGGTGGCCGAGCTGGACGAGATCTACACGGACTACAAGGTGCAGCGCGACACGTACAACAACACGCTGCAGAACGAGCTGACTGGCGGTGGGCTGGAGCAGCAGTTGGACCGCGCCCATCCGGCCATGCAGGTGGAGGATAGCTTCGACGATGCCGCCACCTACACGAGCCTGCAGATCGCCTTCAAGAACCCCGTGCTGATACCCATGGATGACATGATGCCGCCCACACCGCCCATGTCGCAGTGTGCACCGGAGGATGCCCATCAGCACTACGATGCCGTCGAGATCAACTCGCAGTCACTCACCTCGACCCACAGGCCAGTGCCGCCGATTCCGGCGGCCGCCGCCAACACACCGCTGCCGGTGCACGTGACCGCGCCGGAGGAGGAGAAGCTGCCGCCGCTGCCACCCAAGCGGATACGCAAGCAGGACAGCAATGCGGAGAATCGTTCCATCGAGGCCAACACGGTCCAGGCGGACGCGCTGCCGCCCACCAAGCGCCTGCCGCCAGCGCCGACGCCCAAGAACCCCAACTTCAACACCCTGCCCCGCCAGAAGAAGCCCGGCTTCTTCTCGAAGCTCTTCTCGCGGCGCAAGAGCAAGCCCGATCTGGCCCAGACCCCGGCCGACAGTTGCTCGCACCTCGAGTCGAAGACGAACAGCCGGGAGCCGAGCATTGGGCACTTTAATATGCAGGATCCGATGAGAGCCTCGCTGCGATCCTCGAAGAGTGCGGCAGCCGGGCAGACCAGCAGCAGCAACAGCAACAGCAAGTCCAGTCCGGTGAAGACGGCTGGCGCCAAGAAGCCCCTGAAGCTGGGCAAGCCCGTGGGCCGGAGTGTGAGCAGTGTGTCGTGCAAGCGGCCCGCGTATCTGAACGCCGATGTGGTGCACATACCGCTGAAGGGCGACAGCAACAACAGCCTGCCCCACAACTCGCCCACGGAGGGCTACTCGCAGTCCAGCACCATTACGATGGGCGGTGCACTGGACAGGCGCACTGCCTCGGCCCTGCAGCTGGCCGAGATCCCCATACTCGAGGGCGGCATGGAGCTGGTGGCCATTGCCGACCGCCAGAGTCTGCACAATCTGGTCAGCTCCATCGAGGGGCACTTCAATGTGCAGCTGGATCCCAATCTGGACCTGACAGAGGCCGAGCACTTTGCCCTGTACACGAGTGTGCCGCCCCTGGCGGCGGCCAGCGAGTTCGATGAGACCTCCGCCTACTATGCGCCCGTCGATGCCGGCGAGATTCTCACGCCCGAGCAGGTGGCCAAGCGTCTGGCGGCGGCCAATGGCCTGATCTAGGCGCAGTCCAGCCGGAAATTTGTTTTATTTTTTTAGGATTACGAAGGAGACAAAATCCAACGACTAATTCAACGAAGGGGCAAGGAAACCCCCCAGGGGATTAAATATTTTTCAAGCAAATAAACCCCAAGCGAACGCAGAGGAAATTATGCCTCCCACTCTCCATGGGAATATTTACAGAAAAAAAAAACAAAAGAAAGAAAGAAAAAAATCCCCGACTAGAACCATAAATTGTCCATTTGTCGGAGGGCGGCGGCTGAAGGCATCTTTCGGCGCAGAGGCCCTCCAAAACGTTTTTGTATTTGTTATAGATTTGATAAAAGATTTGTGCTAAAAGGTATCCCAACTAACCGAGGATATTGCTCGTATTTTGTAAGCGAAGCTCGTACAGGCCAAGGCCCAAAGACCCAGAGAGAAACATTTACTTTGTGCTGGGTGCAGCAAACGATTTGTTATTGTCCAGGTCTCTCTCTCCCAGTCCGTAGTGTGGCAGGGGGGCGGGAGACCTAACTGAATTTTGTATTTAAGCGAAATCTTATCTCGTTGATATTGTAGAGTAAGATTTCCCAGGAATATCGAAACCTGTATGCTAAACCGCGAAACTGCAACCCAAACATTTGTGTATTTTTTTTTTTGGCTTTTGTAGATCCAGCACACCTGAGGCGCAAACGTCAGAAGACTGGCGGCGATCCCATGCACCTGCTGCTGCAGCAGCAGCAGAAGCAGCAATTACAGAACGATCATCAGGATGGCAGTAAGTGCGACTTCTACTTCTACTCCTACATAAATACATTCTGGTGTTGGTTGCTGTCCCCCCTAACTTTACTTTTGTTGTGGTGCTGGGGTTGGTCCCTGTCTCTGCCTCTGTCTCTGTCTCTGCCTTTTGTGGCATAGTTGGAATGGTTTGTTATCGCTGTGTGTGTGTGTGCGTTGGAATCTCTAATTTGATTGGAAACTTTTGTCTTGAGATGTGACCGCAAGCATCACAAAACTAATCCTACCTAAGCGAATATACGTTGGACACGACTCGCGTATATTCAATACTTGTTTTTCGGTATACCAAAGACTTAACTTAACTATTCATCTGTTTGGATGATGTATTACTCGAATAGACTATTAGAAAATATATTAGTAAAGCACTCAATGCACTCACAAACACACAAGAAACTATTTATATGAGAGATACCTACTATATATTTGATATATTGATATATATACATATATAAATCTAGTCGAAAATTGTAGCAATACTATTGATACTCTGTGCATACAGAAATTGATTTGAAATCAACCAAAAAACAAAACAAAACTTTTGTCGCTTTTCTACTCGTTTACATGCGAAAAAGATATTTGATATTTTTATATAATGAAAATGGAACGTTTGAACAAAAACAAAAATATTTTATATAAAATATATTGTAGTTTAATAAAACAGAAAACAAAAACAAAATTGTTGAAACGAATTCGAATACTTCAAAAAAGGTGTTTTTATTTACACTGAAATGGTTCTGTTCTGAGATTGAAGTAAGTTTTGCTCAGGGTTTTCCGTGGAAGTTTTCAGGGAAGTTAGTTTTTCCGCTGAGTAAGTTTTTATCTGCAGTTTCCGAGTGCCATTGAAAAATTTTGTTTTTCATTTTGTTGAGTTTGTTGCATGCTGTTAGATTTTTTTTTAAACTTTTTTTTGAATTTTTTAATTTGTTATGCGTTGTTCTTTAAGATTTTAAAGCTGAAGCAGCTTCAAAAGAAACTTTCGTATATTTTCATCTAACTCTGAGGCTTTAAGTCCTTATTTTAAGCTTGTTTTCATTAAACCAAATTTAATAGTTAAACATTTCGAAATGGCTTTTGTTTTGTGTGCTTAGAATTTGGGACATTTTATTATTTTATTTCTTATAAAATGCTAAATTTATTAACACTATTTTATCCCGCACTCCACGTTCTTCTCGTTAAACTTTTTTTTGTTTTTTTTGGACTTTGTGCCATCCTTATTTGCTTTATTACGGGAATTTGGAAATTTTAATAGTTTATTTCTTATGTTAAATTTAGTAACACTATTCTTGCCGTGTTTTTCACTTTTGAGTTTTATATTTATTAAGTTTTCTGTTAATTTAGTTTCTAGTTTTAATTGGTTTTATATTTATTTTATTTTTAGTTTTATTGTTAGTTTTTTAATGCTCATTTTTTGTTTGCTTGCTTCTTGCTTTAGGACAGAACAACATGAACTGTTGGAATGCACAGAACATACCGCCCATCAAGACGGAACCGAGAGGTGAGTGGAGCCAACCCTGGTGCCTGATGGTTCACCACATGCAATTTATTTATAATAAATGTCAACTGCAGATACCTCACCGCAGCCCTTTGGCTTGTATCGTGCTCCGCCAGAGTTGACGCCTTCGCCGCAGCCGCTGTCGCCGTCGAGCAACTACAACCACAACAGCACGCCCTCGCCCTACAATCTAGCTGCCACGCCCACCAATGGACAGCAGCAGATGATGTCGCCCAACCACCCACAGCAGCAACAGCAGCAGCAGCAGCCGCAACAGCAGCAACAATATGGTGCAACAGAGTTGGGCAACAACTACAATCCCTTTACACAGCAGGTGCTGGCACAGCAGCAGCAACAACAGCAACAGCAGCAGCAACAGCAGCAGCAACAACAGCAACAGCAGCAGCAACAGCAACAACAGCAACAGCAGCAGCAACAGGCTATGCAATTCCATGGCAATCCCTTTGGCAGCAGCAACTGGGAGAGCAAATTCTCGGCAGCAGCTGTGGCAGCAGCAGCAGCGGCGGCAGCTGCAACACCCGCCAGCAACACCAACAACAACAGCAACAATCTTAGCAATCTCAACAATCCCTTCACGATGCACAACCTACTGACATCGGGCGGAGGCGGTGGCGGTGGCGGTGTTGGTGGCGGAGGAGCGGGCCCAGGCGGCAACCTGCAATGGAATTTGAGCACAAATCATTTGGTAAGCCGATTGCAGCTATATCTTTAATTATTGTTAATTTTTTATGCTTGTTCACAGCACAATCAGCACACACTCCACCAGCAGCAGCAGCAGCAGCAGCAGTTGCAACAGCAGCAGCAACAGCAGCAACATGCCCCGTCCATGCATCAGTATGATAACAACGGATCCAACAACAATACCAATAATAACAGCAACAACACCAATAATGCAAATGCGAGCAACCAGCCGGATAATGGTCCCACGATCAGCAATCTGCTCAGCTTCGACAGCGAGCAGCTGGTTCGCATCAACTCAGAGGATCAGCAGATACTGCGCCTCAATTCCGAAGATCTGCAAATATCCAACCTATCGATATCTACGTAATACCTTTAACAACCAATAAACAAATCAAGAAATAAAATAAACAAACAAAATAAATAAAAACTAAATAAAGAAGCGCAGGGAGGATGGAAATTGAAAATTAAGCATTAACCCTTATCGACCTGGTCGTCAGCAAATTGATTGTTTTAGTGTTTTTGTTAGTGATTAATTTAAATGCAACTTGTAAAATGTGTGTTTTTGTAGGCTAAATGTTTTTTAAATATGAATAAATAAATCGTTTTAGAAGTATAGCAATGAATAGCAATCAAAAAGGTCTAAACTTAATTTAATTTAAAAGAATTTGGAAACGTCTTTGGAAGACTGTGGAATCGCATGGTTTATGGGTTTGGCATAGCCCGTAAGGGATCACCTTTAGCCATGTCTCTGAGTGCCTCTAAGAGTAATCGAAATTGGTGCGTAGACTGCTTCCAGCCAGTGTAGATTGGGAGTTAATGGTGAAGCAGAGCGCACCATCTCTCTCTATCTCTCTATCTCTCTGTCTATCTGTACTATCTGTATTATACAAATTATATGAAATATTATAATATAATAATAAATAATATAATATAATAATAAATAATAAAAGAAAAAATATTAAAATATAATAATAAATAATATAATTATATACCTAAACGATCAGACCCTTTTCCATCACATTTATAAAAGTTTTAAAAATTATAAAAGTCCGAGATTTCCCTGAACTGATGCACTAAAAGTGGCTGAAAAATAAACTCCAATTCAGCTGATTATATCCTCAATGAATTATCTGAGCCATTTAGTAAAGTTTGGACAGTTAAAATTGTTATTAAATTGTGCACTGAACCTTAACTATTATCAAATGTAATTGCGATGGTCAAAACAAATATGAGCTTGGAAAATTGGAAAATTTTCAATACTTTTTCAAGCTAATTATTCAAAAACCATTGATATCGAACATACATAATTGCGAGGGTAATTTCTGGGTTAAATGGTTTCCACTTTGTTTTAAGCGCTGCTCGGTGTACCATTTAAATCAGTTGCCGAGACTGCTGAGCCGCCAGTAGTTAGAATGAATCCAAAGTGTATTGGCATGATGTGGATGTGTTGCATTATTCTATTTTTATTCGACATTTGTGCGGTGAGTGCAATTTTTCTTGTACGACTGCAATCAGCGACTAATGTAGGGGGGATTTACTAAAAGGTCGCCAGCAGACTGGAGTTTAAAAATATAAAATGCACCAATCTGGATCGAAAATTCTCTGAATTCGAAGAGTGTTACCTGAAAGCCCAGAATCGCACCTACAAGTACATGTCCATCAAGGTTATTCTCCATCAGAAACCAGTTACCCAATTTAAGGTACGCAAAATACTCGCAGTTTCCCCCAAAACATAATAAGTTTAATGTATCCATCCAAAAAGGTAAACTTTGAACTGTATAAACGCTCCAATGGACTACAGCCGATCAGTTACAACACAACTTTGGATGGCTGTAAGGAGTTCAGCAGCGCAAGGAATCCCGTAACTACATTTTTCCTTGGGCTGTTCCAAACGTACTCAAACATCAATCATTCGTGTCCCTACAATGCAAGTTCCTCTGTTCCTTCCATAGGCTTGTCCCTGACTCATTTCTTTTGTTATTTGCAGCACGATTTGATATTGCATAAGCTGCCCACCAATTTTGTGCTGCAACAGTTCTCAACGTTTTTGCCCTTTCCCCCGGGCGACTATGTACTCTCCAGCAACTGGATCGCGTACGGCATCAATCGGGCTAATGTCAGGGTGCATGCCACGCTAATTTAATTGATTGCATCTGTATAGAGCTGAAAAGTTGATCAATTAATAATAAATATGTTGTATAAATTATCTGCATAACTGACATATTTTTATACCCGTACTCAAAAAAGAGTTTAGGGGCATATTAGATTTGTGGTGAAAGTGGAAAGAAGGAAATGTCCGTCTTGTTTGTCGACTGGATCTCAGAGACTATAAAAGCTAGATTAAATTTTGTTTCCAGATTCAGGTGATATCACACTCCTACAAGTGTATTTAAAAAATGTATACAAAAATGTTTATGCTGACTGTGTACGGGTATATGTAGAGTTGCGTCCCCAGAAGCGACTCACACGTTCCTTCTCGTTTACTTATCGGGTTGGCAGTAAATGGTTACATTTATTGTACAACAAAATATATGAATTTAAACAGTAACTACAACCAGAACAAAAGAACAAAATAAATGATAACCATTAAATAAATAAATAAGTATTAATATTAATTGGAAGTGTCCGGATTATCTACTGATTCATTCAGGAGGTCTATGGACTTTTCATCCTGATTTTCATCCTTCGCCTCGCCCGACACCTTGGTAAACAATAGATCCTTGATCATTTTGATGGCCTGTGGAATGGATGGCGGCGGTGGATTGCCGGGCAGCACATAGTCAGCCACAAAGTGCAGCATGCGGTAGGTGGCCTGCTGGTACATCTGTCGCTGGGCGAGGCACTGGCGGATGCGCTGCCCCATGGTGACGGCCAGGCAGCTCTGCAGCAGGGCCAGCTGCTCCTTCATCTCCTGAGCAGAGTGTTCCAGCTGTTTGGTGTGATCCAGCAGCTGGCTGCAGGTGGTGTAAAACAGTTGCAGACATACAGTTTTGGATAGGGACTACTTTTGTATCGCTTACTTGTACTTCTGCTCCGAGTTGCTTTGGAGCGCCTCTGTCTTTGCCATTTCTTGGTGTATCTCTTTGATGAGCTTCATCGAGTTTTCTATCTCGATCTGGACCAGCTCCAGGTCACTGGCCTGCTCACGCTGGATGCCCAAACTCTCCTGATAGTCGCGCTGCAGTTGGGCAATTTGCTGCAAATGTTCCCGCTGGTCGGCATTGGCGCGAAACAGTTCGCTGTTCAATGACTGCTGCACCTCTTTGAGGTTCTTGATCTGCTGGTCCTTCTGTTTCAGCTGCTCGTCGAGCTGCTGCTTCTCGCTCTTGATCTTCGCCAGCTGCAGGTGCAGCTCCTCGTAGGAGAGCTTTGTATCGGCAGCCTCGCGGTACGATTGCCGCAGCTGATCGTTCAGCGTGCCGTTGCGACGCTGCTCCACCGAGAACAGCGAGGTGTACAGATGCAGCTGATTGCGAGTTTTCATTAGCTGGGGGCACAGGAAAACAACGCGTTTGGAATTAAATGATATCCATAGCAAGAGGAGTGTGTGACCGAAAGCTCTTTGACATTTCCCAAAAAACTTTGATTCATGTGTCAAAATTCTATTAAATTTTTCCTGCCTCAAATTATTCCCCCAATGGATACTCACGATTTTCTTTTGGTCCTCAAATTGCTCCGTGATATTACGGACGCTCTGGCGACGCTTGCGCCAGGCATGCAGTATTATTGTGTTGAAGATCTTCAGGCTGGCCACGCGCGCATCCTGATCGGGGCTGACCACAAAGCTCACCCGTCCCTTGGGCGCCTCGGACATCAGTGCCGCATCCTGCAACAGCAGCTTGGACATGCTCGCATCCAAGCCAGCTTCGGCCGCCGTCTGGTGGTTGTCCTGGCTGCCCGGCGCGGGCACATGGGCCACCAGCTGATAGTTGCCTGTGCGACGGGCCTCCTTGAAGTCCATTTGGGAGACGGATTTGCGCGCCTGGAAGTTTATCATGGCCGCCGTCTGCTGGCGCTTCAGCGTTAGATAGGGAGTCGGAGCTGTGGGCTGCTTGGGCAGGCTCATGACCTTTGGCATGACCAAGCAGCTGCGCTGACCCGAGCGGGACACAGCGGTGGTCAGCGAGGTGTCCGACGATGAGGGTGTCAGCAGTCCACCGGGTGGGATTTTGCCCAGCAGCTGCTCGTTGTTCTTCTTGTCGAAGACGCTGCATGGATTTAATATTATTATTTATTATTTATTTATTTATAATTATTATTTATTTATTATTTATTTATTATTTATTTTTTATTTATTTACTATTTATTTATTATTTATTTATTTACTATTTATTTATTTTATTATTAATTATTTATTTATTATATATTTTTTATTTATATATTATTTATTTACTATTTATATATTATATATTTATTATATATTTATTATTTCTTTACTATTTATTTATTATTTATTTATTTTGGATCTCTTTGAACACTCACCCATTGTTCTTCTTTTTTGGGCTGCGCTGTGTAATGCTGCGACGCTTTTGCAGTGTACCCGGAACCAGGGACTTGGTGTACGGGGCCCTGGGCGATACGTTCTTGGGCCCATTGGGCAGGGCAGTCGATTGTGTTTGACGAATACGTGGACTTTTGGGCTTCATGGCTTCACTGCCTAATTAATCTCTTAAAGAAACTTTTCAACTCAAAATGGCACAGAAATGTTAATAATTAAATTTTTGTATTTTTATTTATGGTTTTTTTTTCGAAGAGAGAAGTTTACAGCTGAACAGCACCAAATGAAATGAATTATTCGACTGAGATTTTCAGCTAGGTACTATGTAAAACAGTATTAACTAAAGAGCAGGGCCTACTATGGTGATTCAATGGGTGATTCAACTTTATTGAACGAACGCTGGAATGATAATTCAATATTGCTGCAAAACAATACTGAAGATAATACTGTTCGTAGATGCAGTGAAACCAAATACTGCATTTAAATTGTCACTAATTACGGATATATACTAATAATTGTACCAGCATCGTCACTAATAATAATACCTAGTCATCGGTTTATATAATCTGTTAGTCGCCTTATTTGTGCTCGACGAGAATTCGATTAGAACATCGGTGTTCGAAGCCGCTCAGATAAAATCATTTCCATTCCGACGTAACCATGCATATGCAAAGATTCGATGTATTAAGCACACACACTTGCATACGCAATGAAGCCAATTGATATATAAGCATGAAACTTCGAACTAAAATCAGTTCAGTTGTGAATCGACAGTACCTAGCGTCAAGTTTAACATGTGGAGCTCGGGCTTTGTTGTGATCACTTTGTGTGCTTGTATCCTCCAAGGGAAAACCTCACGCGCAAGTGGAGAGGAGGATATACCGCATTTAACGAAGGATGTTGGCATCGCGGAGCAGTGTAATGGATATTGTTTTACAGTTCTCCAGCCTTTTCTCGAGAATTTCACTCATATGAATGTGACAGGCGAAATTAAAGACAAAATACACTCATTGGAGGAAAGCAAACTAAAATTGCAGTACCAGCTCCTAGATAGTATGATAGAAATAGAAAACAATGCCGAACAAATTAAGCACCTCAGCGAGCAGGTGAAGGCGATGTCTGAAGTGCAAATTAATCAGACGGCGGAGAATCTTCCCAGCACATGTCCCAAGATTGAAGGCATTGAACCTTTTCTAGTTCCCTGCGAGCCTTCTTCGTCTGGCTGGACGGTCATTCAAAGGCGCATCGACGGAAGTACAAACTTTAATCGCAACTGGACCGAGTACAAACTTGGATTCGGCAACCTCCAGGGGAACTTTTTCCTGGGACTCGAAAAAATTCATCTAATGACCAAAAACCAAAGTCACGAGCTGTTCATCCATCTCCAAAAAATTGACGGATCTACCAGCTTTGCGCAATACGATGATTTTCAAGTAGGCAGCGAAGAGGAAGGCTACAACCTGAAATCTTTGGGAAAATTCTACGGACCAGCCGGAGATTCACTAATCGATCATTTAAATATGAAGTTTACTACATTTGACCGGGATAATGACTTTAATGATATAAATAATTGTGCTAAAGGTGATAGTGGTGGTTGGTGGTATAATGATTGCGGATACAGGTACAGATATTTTGTGCAGAACTAACGCTATTAATTAATACATTTTATTATTTTAATTTTCTTATTATTACAGTTCCCTTAATGGAAAATATTATGCAGATGGTTGGTCTGACGACACCGACGGCATTAATTGGGGTACATGGCAGTACTATAAATACACTGGTTCGCTTACAAATACTCAAATGATGATTAGGCCAACCTCATATAAAAGTTAAATTAATGTTGTCAAGCGAAACACGAAAACTAAACTCGACCGCTTTCTGCTTTTCCTTATGCTTCGGCTTGCAAGTTTTATTCCTGGGGTGTTGGATTTTTGTAATACCATGTATCTATATCTTTTCTAATAAATAATACGATCTGTTTATAAAATTGAATTTATATTTTAGGACTTTAAATAAGTTAAAGGAAAATTGATTTAAAATATTGTTTTCTTTTAACAATATTATTAAAAAAAAGTCATGACGTTCTACTAATTCGTAAATACAAATATTTTAAATCTATACGTACATTTTTCAGTATCCAAGAAATTAAACAAATATAATTTTATAAGATAGAAAAAAATTTGTTATGCATCGGCCGGGAATCGAACCCGGGCCGCCCGCGTGGCAGGCGAGCATTCTACCACTGAACCACCGATGCTGTGTTATTTCGGCTAATTAAATATTTAAATATAATTATCTGATTAAAGTTTAATACGATGAGCCCAACTATTTATGTGCTAAACCCGAAAAGTTATCTCTCTCTTTCTTCATCAATTTTTGATTATTCCCTCGGCGCACTTTCTTTGTAATGGCATTAAAAAGCAGTCGTCAGACGGTTGCTTACCCACTTTTTTCTTGTCTATGTATGATTTGGTAAGCTAGAAAACAGTCTTCAAATTTGCCGTATAATTTATATATATGAAATATGTCTGAGGACTTCAGTTCATTGATTAAAATCAATTTTTTATGTAATCTCTTCAATTGACACATGACAAATTCGGCTACGCAAAATGAAAGAACATTAAGTTCAAAGCAACAGTCACATCCTGCGGGCAACGCCACCCAACGACATCCCCCCACACTCCCACTCAGGGGCCACATCCGGTTCAGTTCTCACACATGGTAACTCGATTCGGTTGCGGCATCCGCTTGCTATTTTTTGTTATGCCCTTAGATTGGGCCTTTAAGTTTTAGTCTACTGTTTTTTAAAGTTCTGGAACTTATTTCGTATAAGAAGAAATAAATATTAAACGTTCTATTTCCATGCATATATTATAAGTTTAAGTTATATGAAGTTGCTATTATTTCAGACATGAACATAATTATTATTTGAGTGGCCAATGGATCGGCGATTTGCTAAAGTTCATCCTTGATTCGATAAACTGCAAGGGCATACACATTTCGGCAGCTTTCGTGCCGTTGCCGTCCATTTTGCCCGGGGGGGCTGAAACCCAGACATGGGACACAGTTTCCGCTAGATTGGGCGCCAACTTTCTGTTCGAATCGGCTACCCAACTGAGGTGAAAAAGTGGCTTCGAACTCACCACGGCAGAGGAAACGTACCGCTTGCGTGTGCGCAGGCAGCAGCGAAAGCTTTGCCTCTGCCTGACTGAGTGGCGGCGGCCCTAGGACAACTTTTTTGCCTGTGGTTTTGGGGGCGGCACTAACGGCACACTCCGTGTGGCGGCCAAGGCGGTCTCGGCTTCATTAACGGTTCGACGCTGCTGGCAAACGGTTCCTCCTCTCCTTGGCCAACAAGGCGCAACGAAAGCTACAAAAGGACGCGAACGAAAAAGTAACGTAAATTGAAATTTAAATTTTATTCGAATGCCAACAAATCCAAATAAAACAATAAATGAAACAAATAAATTAACGAAATTAATTCAGCTTGAAATCGAATCATTAAAATTCATTCAAAAGTGTTTGTCTGTGTGCAAGTGTTTTGTCTGTGTGTGCGATAACGAGAAAATCCGAAACGAACATAAAATTTATATTGAAAATTGAAAATCACACAAAATACATTGAATTATTGCCCTTGCTGGAAATTCTGATTTAGGTGAGTTCTGGATTCTGTCTATAAATAAACGTCGAATGCTGCGAGATTACAAATTACGAAATTGTTTATAAATAATAGGCGATTAGGGCATATTCAGCCAAAGAACATCAATGAAATTGGTTTCTCCCAGCAGATCAATTAATTCTATTCTACTGGGATCTTGCTCATATTCCCCCGATGAGAATCCAGTTCCGATCTTAACGTCTGGGGGAAAAAGAAATCAAACTTAATCATTCTTCGGTACAACAGCGTCATATATGTTGTGCATACGTCACACATATCTCCCCTTTCTCCCGGGTGACCAGTTCTGGTTCTGCGGTTAAATATTAAGTGTTTGATTTGATTAAAAAGTTGGCTTAAAGATAATGCTGACCTGTTAACTGGAATTAGATTGACTGCGCGCGCCGAAAATTCCCAGAACTTAGAAAAATGTTTAGAAAAACGTCTACAATGATTCTTAGAAATTGAATGCATTTCCTAGTAGCGACTAGGCTAATAGTTTTAATTGCTTATGCCTAATGTTGACATCATTAAAACTGTGACAACATCTATAACTATTTAAATGTTTTTCTATTGCACTGCAAATGCAATTTCGAGCCATTGGAACTATCAGCCAATTAAATGGCAGAGACACAAATTGTGTGATTGGGAATTGTTGAGTTATCATTGGTTAATATTCGAGGTAGATAGTTGAAGAAGTATTGTATACAGCTAATTGGTTCGTATGTTCTTATAAAGAACCGAACCTTCTAGTAAGATATTTCTTGGATTTCGATATGGAAACGGTTTATGATATTTTAAATACTTATTTTAAACTGCTTCGACAGTCGTGAATCTATGCATTTATTCGGATAGTCACTTAGGAATTAATGTAATATTATATTAATATCATAAATTACATTTATAGAGTTATTAAATTTAGAAGCAGTACAAGTTTAAATATCTAAAAATTCTCTGTAATATTAGTTACATATTTAAACAGATTGGGTGCCCATACAAGGAATAAACATGCACAGAGAAAAGCGAAACAATTGAAACGGGGACTTCAGGGAAAAACAATTAACTAAATAGATTCCATCGCCTGAGAAAGCTGACCTTTTATTAGTTGTTCCACATTCCTCAACCCCATACAAATACAGTGAACACTCGCTAAACGTACTTACTAATCGCCGTTGAACAGAGCAGATATTTCAAGTAGTCTCCACATTGTTACTCAGTGACCATCTACCATGAAACACTCCGGCATGGGGGTTGTCCGCCCAGCAGGGGTGTTCACTGTATTAGCAAAAACAAAACAATAAAACTGGGCAATTGCAATGGGCGATTCATTGCCAGTTCCAGTTTCAGTGAGAAATGGCAATAAGTTCTAATCCGACCCAACCCAGTGCCGGCCACGCTCCTGAGCTTTCCCCCTGGCCCCTGCCACGCCCCACCACATCCAACCCAACCGATTCCACGGTGCTTCACAAATCGCTGCCACATTAATTAATTAACAGTTGTTTGTGCTGACTGTTGCTATTATTATTGCTGCTGCTGTTGCTGTTGTTGTTGTTGTTGTTGCTGCTGTTTTTTTTTCTGTCGCTGCGGTGTGTTGCTATTATTGCGGCTGATTTTCTATAAGGCAAACCAACACACAACAAAATGTTAGGTCTATCGCTATTGCTGCTCTAGCCATCTATATCTCTCTCTCTCTCTCTCTCCCGCTCTCCCTCTCTGTCTCGAAGTTACCTGAAGTTGTGAAATGACAAAGTCAAAGTCTCAAAGTGTGTGGCTCAGACAACCTTGATATGCTCACCACCAGCCAGTCAAATCAACGAAAACAAGAAAGAAAGATGAGCTTCTGGCATCGAATCTGTAGATACTCTTGCACATATTGTTGGGCCCTTGACTGTCGAAACATATTCAATCGCAGCTGGTATAAGGTACAAGACTATTAAGACTCGTCTGTGACTGTTGAATGCGCTGCAGTGTCAAGTATTGATCGAAAGCGTTGTACCCTCTGTAAGGGTACAGCAACAACAGCTAAACATTGCATGCGGAACTCGAAAGCAAATTCGAACTCGAACGAGCGAACACTCGAAATGAACATCAACTTTGCAACTGCATTTACCAAATTATGCAATGCACAGAGACTGGAAACGGGAATAGCAAGGCAACCCATTCCCACACCACATACATGCAGTGTACATACATACATATGCAATGCACATCATACTCTCCTGCAGCTTAAACTGATCGTATCAAGCACTCTCTCTCGCTCTCAGCTCGCAGCAGATTTCCGCCTGGGCGCGCAACACTCTCACTTGCTCTCAACTGCTCACGCACACTTGTAGGCCGATGCTGCCGCTTTAATTGACAATTCGGATGGCAGGGCAGGGGAGAGTGATACAATTGAGTTTGACGAGCCAGTGCCTCTGCCATGGATGATTCATGCTCGTTTTCGGGGAATCCAAAGCCAATCAAGTGTGCCCCAAAGAAGGCAGACGGACAGGTTTTCAGTTTTACCTTTACCTTTTCGTTTTTCTGTTTTTTTTTTTTAGTATGCCAAGCAAAAGTTTGGCTAATCCACGAATCAGTTACTTAAGACGTGGCCCAAGGAAGCGCACAAACAATTGGTACGGTAGGGGATCAAAAGCGGTAATGACTGCTAAGCTTTAAGTGGTGCGGGTAGATAGATATGCATAGATTGCATATTGCATAGATATTTATGCTTGATATGTACGATATACCTATGTATACATACATACATACATACATATGTAAGCAGATCATCGACCCTTTTGACACCCACTACCCAGCTACAAAAACCGTTCAAATGTGCGCTCGAGCTCTAAGAAATCTTTATCGACTTTGACGTTGATTAGCCAGCCCGTGAAGTAAACAAACAAACAAGCACATAAATCATAAGCTGAGCTTTGAGTTCTCCTTAGCATTATTTAACCATTTTGTTCCATAAATATTACGTGCGCTGTTGAAAAGTACAGCTCTAATTGCTCCCAAAGGATCAATTAAAATGCACTTAAATTGTTTTCGTATCGTACGCCGGCGGTTGAGCGGAGGGCATAAAAACTTCGACGTAGTGTAGCTGTTTTTTTTTTGTTTCTGTTCTCCGCTTTATCGCGTTTCGCTGCTGGGCAAACATTTAGAGTTCATTTGTTATTTTGCTCATCTTGTTATTGATATCGCCCCTCTGGCCACTTCACTTACTATTTCTATGACTGGATGTCTTGCATGTTAATGCTCTTTGTCTCTCTCTCTCTCACTCTTTCTCTCTCTCTCTCTCTCTTTGTTTTTTCGTGGCAGACGACCTTTTGGTGTGGCTCCACTATTTCATGGAATGGTCACATTATAAACAGTGGCCTCAAAAGCGCTAAAAGAGGCGGAGGAGGAGGAGGAAGAGGAGCAATAAAAGCAGAAACAACAACAAGTGGTTGCTCAACTCTGTCGCCCGCCTCCCTTCCACCCTCCGCAGCATATCGCTTGTGTCTTTGTCCCCACTCCACTCCACCTCTGTTCGGTTCGGTTTGGTTCGGTTCGGGGCTTGGCTTTGTTTGTCTGCAGTCTCTCCCGCTCTCCGCCTCTCTGCTGCTCCATCGCTTGCACGCGTGTGACCTTGAATCACACATGTGCCAGAATTGCAGGCGTACGGATTTTTGCCCGCTTCGCATTCGTCTTTCGCTGCTGCTTCTGCTGCTGATAGCAGCTCAAAATAAAGAGAAGGCAAAGTTTGACGTAGAAATCGAACTCTTTCGACGTCACTGGAAGCCGCTGTGATCCAAATTAAATCAATGTTGAAATGTTTGGAAATATGACGTTATTGATATTAATTCAATGGAAATGTATCCCCCAAAATGTAATTCATAAATGCACAGTTTATTGACTATGATTTCCATTTTTTAAGTCTTTCAAATCTTAAGATTTGAGATACTATGGTATCTTTAGTAAAAAAACCTTTTGAATGTCTTCTGGAACGGAGATGATCTATTTCAAGTGTACAGATTCGAAATTCAGTTGATTATACACACGTGTCAAGAATTCTTTTTGTTTTCTTACTCTATCATACAAGCTATAATTTTCCATTCATAATTTAAATTCCATATAAAATATATATGTACATATGTAGTTGCAGTTCCTCTGTTGTTTTTATTGTAAACCCATATTGGAATAAATAGCTTTTGGCAAATATCTCAAAGAATTGCAGTCGATCCAGACGCCACCCACGCCCCATTGAGATTTTGTTTTTAGTTTGGAAATTTTGTTGCCCAAAAACCCAACAGAAATAAACTATACAAATCTGCATATAGATATTGTAGTGTGCACCAGCAATAATGAAATATTTCTGCTCGATTTGCAATCCCAACTGAAAATATTTTCTACCGATGGATGTGATGTGTATTTGGTGCTCGTGTTTATTTAAATGACTAAAATCTGTTGATGGAACAGAAGCCAAAAATTGAGTTAATAACTCAGTCTCTGACCTTAGGCGATGTCGACAGTTTTGTTGTATTTCGTCTCTTGCTAGTTGGGGAATTTGTCTGTTTAAATTAGCAACGCTATATGGATATTATAATTTACATTTGGCGAGGGTCGAATCGAGCTGGTTACTTTTCAGGTATGTCAATTCTTGGGAAAATCAATACGAAAAATGAAGCTGTCAATATTTCATAAATAGAGCTTCTTCTTTGTTGTGCTGGGGAAGAGAGAATTGTGAGCATTCGTGAATATGTATTACATTTTTCCCAAGTAAAGGAAATGAGAGTTTGGGCATCTACTTAATGCCTCAGCATCTTGCATACTGGACCTATGGCCAAATTATGAATATAACAAAAAAACCATAGCTTATTGCCATGCTAAATATATATATTAAGAAAATATGCTGTGGGAAAATATGGAGAGTTGTGGGGTTTTCCGTCTACTCTTTGCTTGGATGAGTCACTCAATCGGGCAAAGAAATTTATACAAAGTGCTATCTCCAGTATCTGGTTAATATTAATGATATTCTATAGCATGGTATTTGTACTTTTTCCCTTAGCTCTGGATATGACCCGATTTCTTTGATCTTTATTTTACTCGGTTATACTCTTTGAAAGAAAATTATATTATAAAGGGCAGCATAAATGTATTTTCTTGGATGCTACATATACATACATATTTTTGCAAAAGGATTTGCTGGATTTGAATGCCATAATAAGTGCCATGTACTACCTACCCTCATGATAATAGATCATCTTTGAGTTCTGCAAACGGCCTGTATAAAATTCTTGCCCAGGCAAAGAACATTTATTTATACCCAAATCGAATTGTGGAACACCTGCCGCGTATTATAAAAATCTCAACACTTTGGCATACCCACTTTTGAATCAATAAGTTTATTTTTTGCGTATTGTTACGTCATTGAAAGTACAAAAAAGAAAAGAAAATAAACCGAAGAATACGCACAAGGAACAGCGATAAACAACAACCAAAAAATAAGCATAACAAAAACAATCAAAGAAAAACTAGCTTCAGCGCCCGAAACTTTTGATACTCTTGGAGATCAATGCATAAGACATGGAAATACGCTTTTGATCGACTATAACGTACCTTACATATTTAAATGTGCTAAACATTTGCATGTAGATCCTTTAGTGAGGTGGAATAACTGCTTTTTGTGCGCAGCAAACAACTGTTCGAAACAGTAATACCCTCGACAAGGGCGGGAGAAGTAGAAGACGAAAGTGAAGCGGGCAATCAATGAGAGAGCGCCTGGCGGCAGACTGGAAAGAAAACAAAAGTATGCGCTCCGCTCCGCATGGAATTTCATGCGATACGATCCGATAGCAGCGGCAGCGGCAGCCAGCAGTTAATCAAGTATACGCGCCCGTTTTCGGCCTATCAGCAGTGCACGACGGAGAGCGAGCGATCATGCAGAGAGAGAGAGAGAGAGAGAGCCGCTCGAGCCGATGCCAAAGCCGGGGCCGAAGCCGAAGCTAGCCAGCGAGAGTCGATGTGCTGAGACCTGGAGCCCAGGCATCGTTCAGTTTCACAGCAAACTTTTTGGTGGTCGGACGTGCTTGGCCGGAGCAAATCATTCGCTTTCCATTATTATAACGCATATTGTGCAAGTCACACGCGTGTGTTTTAGTGTGTGTTTATATATTATATATATACAAATATATATATATTTGTAGTTAGCTCTATTCGAGTATGTGTGAATAAATCAATGTTCGCGACGGCTGCATTGCTAATATAGCAAATACCAACAACAACAACAACAACAAAGCACACTTGAAAGATTGCGTTAGCAACTTTTTGTTGCTTCCATTTTGTCCATTCCGTGCCCATATCTCTCCACCAGCCTGAAGACAACAACAACAGAAAATAAATAAAAATTTGGCGCGCAGTGAACCCAGTGATAAGACCGCCGTAAACAAAATATACACAAGAATAATTAAAATTTTAATCATTTACACGTGTCACAAGGAGTGATAATTCGATTACGCTACATAACGCCAAAGTGCATTCAGATCAGCGTCAAATAAACCAACAAAAAACAAAAATTAACACACTTCGAAGGCAATAATATTTGTGACAGGTGCAACAACCAACAACCAACAACATCAACATATAATCCGTAAAAGGTTAGCAGCAAACCCAATCCATTAACTAAGAAAATACAGGCACAAATCTAAGGCGCAGTTTATAAAGCTGCCTATCCGCTCCATCATTCAGAGTACAGACTGTGAATAGTCTCGGCTCAGCTTTCCTCCTCCCTGCACTGCTCCATTGCAACGACACTGCAAGAAAAATATACAACAAAATATAACAACAACAATTGGCTGTGGCTCGTGGAACTGGCGGATTACATAAATTATAATCGCAGCTACATAAATAAATAGTAGCAACACATGCTGTGGGGCGGGCAATTAATTAAATGACTGCCACGTGCAATGCAAATTTTATTTCTAAATATGTACAAGGAAACACAACAGCAGAGGGGTGCACTAAAACATAAATGTTGCTTAAGGTTTGGGAACCTTGCTACTATCTGTAATTGTTTCTCACTTCGTTGTTATCTGTGCCCCCAGCTCTTATCTACTGAGTGTGGCGCATTTTTTAGGCATTCGATTGACAGCAAATGTCTCCATAGTTTTGAGTAGGAAATCAAAATAGTAAAAAAATTTTAAACCAGGAAATGCCACAACTCTTGTTGGCCCTGCCTCACAGCTGACTGACGTCACAGCTCTGCGCTTTTGTAATGCAACCACAAAAAAGTGAGAGGCATCAGTGCGCACACACACCCAAAACTTGATACGACTTCCCCCACTTACACAGTTTGCACTATGATTGCCTGTAACGAGAGAGAGAGCGGGAGCGGGCGAGCGATCCCTTTTGTTGCTCATTGTTAAAGCCATAATAATTCATCTCAGGGCAGGGCATTGCCAGACCGCAAAAATTGAGTGACATGCGAGACGCAAATTAAAAAGCATTGACATATGTACAATGTACAATGTACATACATGAAATGTCAAAGTGTTTTGACTCTTGGACACCCAAAACAACTCACGAGTCGACTGGCAGCTTCTTTGCTTATGAACTTTGAGAAGGAGCAGAAGACAACGAGCTATTTAAATAACTATTAACTATTATTAAATTATTCAATAACTATTAAAAACAGATGAAGCCAGCTAAACACTGGTATTTTTGGTGTAATAATCATATGAAGAACCGAAACTGCAGCAGTTGTTTATCTAACACCTTTGGCAGCTAGACTTTAGCTACGAGTTTCCGACTCAAATGTTTATGTAGATTAAGAAACGCTTCCTTCTGCCCCTCTATTTATTTATTCAGTGTGGTTTTTTTCAAGTGTAAGATTAGCTGATGCTTATTACAATGCACACAATAAATCTGCCAATAAATCTCTATGAAATGAAGGCGTCGAACAGCGATTTATTGTGATTATTATGCATAGTTAAATGTACTTACAGACACACGAATATATGCGAATCTAAAGCTGGTTCCCTTGTGTGATTTGTCTGTGCCACAGGCGGCAGTAACAACAGCGATTACCGCTAAACACAATTCATTTACATACTCGTACTGGCTCGAATCAGAACTATACATGGTGGATACATACATATTTCTAAAGACATACAATACGAGTATGTATGTATGTATGTATGTATTTATTTATGGTATATAACATATGCCGGAACTACTCCCCTGAGTACGAGACATTTCCTCTAGAATTGAATGCATTAATTTTCTTTTTCAAATTATAAACTTTTATTGCTTGTTTGCTTATCGCAAAGTCAAGTTTTACAAAATGCCTTGAAGTGTGTGCTTATGTACAAATAATAGCTATAAATATGTACTATATGGCATGTACATATGTGTAGCAATTCCCACTAAAATTGATAAGAATTGAGAGCCAACTGAACTAGCTTAAAATCTAAAAATCAATCTCCGAGGGACGCTAATTCTGGAGAGAAATGTTGGCATTTCCCTCGCCGAATTGCGTGCCCAACGAGAACTCTCTCTCTCTCTCCTCTCTCTCTCTCTCTCTCTCTCTCTCTCTCTCTCACTCTCTCCATCAATACCGAACTGTAATCAATTCTCAATTGACCGCAGGTCGACAAACATCGCCAAGATCTGTACAAAGAAACAACAGAGAAAAAACAAAATGCTCGCCCGCAATGCAAATATTTATATAAGAAATTTTGTAAATATTTTTACAACTGAAGACCAGGCCAGACCAGGCTAGGCCAGGCCAGGCAAAAAAAAAAGTTTATAAAAATGATGCCACACGGCATCTGGAAGATTTCGTTTATTTCATTTGTAATCAAAGGAACTGAACTGCATTCGCAAAACGAACCGACACCGAAAATCCAATAAAGTCTTTAAGACTTTTCCACACGCACACGGACACGGACACGGCCTGGCAGAGCCATAAAAATAGAATGAGATGGAACAGAACAGTCATGGTCAAAACTTACTTAAATATCGATTTATCAGCGCCTATAGCCCGCAGCAGATCCCGAAACTTGTATTCATCGGGCACAGACCAAAAACTAGGCGGCCAAAAAGGCATAGGCAGGCAGAAGTCGAAGCAGCAGCAGCAGCCACGGCAACAGCAGCAACAGTGGAATTGTTTTTGGTAATTGATGAAAGAAAAACCCAAACAAAACACACACTTTTCACACCTTCTGCTTGCACACACATACATATGTACTACTCATGAATCTCTATGAGTATGTATGTTTGTGGCAGGTATCGCATACCCTTCCCTTCGCCAGCAGACATATAACTTTGCCATTTATATTGTTCAGATGGTGTTCGGATTGAAAGTTATTGGAAATTAAATGGCCAACGCCTGCAGGAAGGTCACACGGGGCCAGTGGCAAGGTGTGTTGTGGGTGGAACCGAGGGATAAACTCAGTTGCGGGTTCGCGATTATAGGTCAAATGGTAGCCAACGGTATCTATTTGGGTAACGCCACGAACAGAGTTTGCTTAAGTGGAAAATTAAAGGATTTCCTATCAATAGAATATGGAACATATATTGCTTCAATTGTTTTGAATGAAGCATATGCCCAGCACCTCGTTAAAATCTCTTTAAACCTTCTGTGAAAACAGCTTAAATGACTTTTCATTATTGAATATAATGCCAGAGTAGTTTCCTGTAGGTTCAAGCACAAATTATGTAATATTTGGATTAGCATACTTGTTGCCAATCGCCAGATAAATTCCCATTTATATCCACACCGATCTGCTCCTGAGTATGTCCCAAGTTCAACAATATTTTCGATTTACATATGTATGTATATTGTACATACATTTCATTCAATGCCCCCGCCAATATCCGTTCAGTGGAATATTTTCCAAGCAGATATTCGTCTAGCCAAATTCTTCCATGATCTGTCATCTCATATCCAGCTCCTGCCTCAGACCAGAACACGCATACGCCATGTTGTGCGCTGAAAATGTTGAATTGATTGAATTGTGAAAAGTTTTATCGCAAAATAATTAAATGCTGCGGTTTCTTCGATTTTTGGGCATCGCGTGTCGAGTGTTTTTTTGTGTGTTTGTTCGGTTTTAATTTTTGTGTGTTGCGATGTGTAGCTGTGATGGCTGTGGTGTCTTGGCCATTAGAATGGAAATTGTTCTAACGCTTCGCTGGCTTTTGCACTGGCCTAGCTCTGGCCGGGTGTCTGGTGTGGTCAGGTCTGGTCTCGTCTGGTTTGGTTTGGCATTCTGAGAATGCCTTTGGTTACTCTCAGCATTATTTACTTGACTGCAAAATATGTTCCGTTCTGTTCTGTTCGGTTCCTTTTGATTTTTGCTTGAAAAGACATGAAAATCGATTTGTTGTATAATTTAATTTTTGCTGCCGCTTCCACACAGATTGTGTTCCGTTCCGTTTCGTTCTGTTCTTTTCTGTTCTGTTCTGTTCTGTTTTATCGTGTACCTGGGGGGGCGGGGCAGGAACGTTCACGTTCGTGTTGAATGAAGAAGCCAAATGTAACCGGAAAATGTGAGAGAATTAATTGCTTTTTAATTAGTTGCGCACATTAACAGTTTTCAGGTGGCACGCCATACGAAATAAAATGCCAACAAAAGCAAACAAATGAAAACAAAATCAAAAAAAAAACTTTTCATGATATTTTCATTGTAAAAGCAGAAAAAAAAAAAACGAAAATTATATTCCACTGTTTAGGGCACGGTTCACATTCACTCACTCACACCAATGCCTGCAACTGACTCACAATTGTGGAGATTCATACATTTAAATATAGACTGAGCGGGGTTATCAGCTACACTGGGCACTGGGCATACTCCCTGATCTCGCTGATATGTCATACGGTTAAAAAATCTCTCCGCCTTAATTGATTTACAATTAGCTGAAGAAATCTGCTTGGGATTGCCCATAGATAGGCGCTGGGAAAAACTCATCAGTGGCAGTGGCTTACATTTACATTTACATTTGTGTGGCAAGGAATAGGAGCTTTGGGTCTGCTCCGCAAATTAAATAACAATTTTCCAAGGGAATATTTGGCAGCAAAAAGATTGAATTATGGGTGGACTATTACTGGTACAGAAAAAGCGCCAAAATAAGAAGAGTTTTCCAAGAGGGAAACCTGATCGAAACAAAAGTTCACCTCTTCTGATGCAAATATTCCCATTAATTCATTCTCACAGTACAGTGAACACTTTGAAACTTACTTCCATGCCGTGCCCGTCTTTCGGGCTAGCACCACCGCAAAAACAGGTTAAACAAAGTTGGAGATCAAGGAGCAAACAACCCAGAGACATTTGTTTATTCATCAAATACAGAAGGCCGAATGGATGTGCTGCATGTGACAGCGTCGTGGTTGGGACGCCTCCATGAAGGACACTCTTTGAGGGGGTGGCAACTGGCGGCGGGGAAAGCATAATTTCATTTATTGATTTTCCTAGTCAACAATTTCCTTTTTCTTCGCCTGAGAAGATTCCCCCGTCCTGCTTTTTGGTGACAGGCGGAATTATGTTTCGGGGCAAACTTTTTATTTGAATTTAATTTTTTCTATATATATAAAGCATACGAAACGGGCACGAGTACGAGTGCCGAGTGTATGGAATATAATGCAGGGCACGGGCACTCG